ACTGTAGTTAGTCATGGTCTCTTGTGGTTCCATATAAATATTAGGCTGATGTATTCTGTTTCTTAAAAAACGATCATTGGGGTTTTGATAGGGGTTGAGCCACAATCTGCATATTGTTTTTAGCAAGATGGTCATCTTAACAATATTAATTCTCCCCATCCATAAACATGCAGTATCTTTCCATCTCTTTGTGCTGATCTGGTCACCCCTCCCTCAGCACGTACAGCTTCCAGGCTCCCACATACCAATGGGAGTCCTCAGTGTGGAAAACCCCACCAGAACCTCGGGAGGTCTAGACACAGCTTTCTGGCTGCACATTACCCCCCAGAATGGTCTGGTCTGTGCTCCTAGTGGTTACCACATCCTTATCAGCACTTGGTGTTGTTCAGTTTTTCAATTTTTAACCATCCTGGCAAGCGTGGGTTTGTCTCAGTCCATGTGCCCCATGGTGGGGTGAGGGTGAGCCACGGCCATTGTCATTTACCGCCTGAGCGTCCTCTGTTCTTTAACCCGATTCTATAATAGAAGCAACGAGGCAAAGGGCTCTCCCTCTTTTGACATCTCTGCTGGACACGCTTAGGCATCCCTGGCGTCCTCGCCAGCTCTTGTCTCATCAGCTCTTCCGATGTGGTCGACACAGTGGGGATAAGAGGACACGCTCGACTCGCATGGCCCATGTTCCAAGACGGTTATCCTCTTACACTCGGGGGTCTTTTGGTCTCCTTTTCTGGGCAATGTCCACTCACAGCTTTTACTATTTTCCTATTGGGTTGTTACTTATTATTGATTTGTTGGACTTCTTTATTCTGTAAACTGATCCTTCGCTGGATGTATGTTTTATTTCCTTCCAACTGCCTTTTACCTTTTTTTAGATGTCTTTTGATAAACATGAATTTTCTTATTTTTCATATAATTGAATTTTTCATATATTCATGATTAGAGCTTATCTTTTTATTTTTTTTTAAAGATTTATTTTATTTATTTATACAAGCACTGGGTACAGTCAGAAGCACGGGAGGGTGAGAGAATTCACCAGAGCCAGAGCGGGGAGCAGAGCAGGCAGAAGGACCGAAGTACACTGCTGAGGGGAGCAGCGGGCGGCAGGAGAGGTCTGTGCGCCATGTGGGACCCTCCTCTGGTGGCCGGGGAGCAGCCGGGGATCGAACCGGCGCTGCAGAGGCAGCGGGCAGCTTCGCAACCCAGCGTTCAACCGCTGCGCCACCGGGGAGGCCCATAAGAGCTTATCTTTTTAAATAAATCCTTCAATAAGCATATTTTCCTGTTATTTGTTCTGGTTACATAAAATGATGTCAAAATTCCCAAGTATCAGTGATGTAGCATAAAGCAAATTTATCTTTTGCCCACATTGGGAGCCCGGTGCAGACTGGCGGAGGGCGAGGGGCACAGGATTTCTGCACCAGGCTCTTCCCATCCTACGGCCTGGGGATCAAGCCTCAGAATTTTGTACCTACGAAGTCCGGGGTATTAAGCAATCACGCGGGTAACATGGGGCAGGCCTGAAATGAGTGAATGCTCTTGCTCCTTTCAGGCCTGCCCCATGTTACCCTGACACTCCCCTGGGAGATGGCTGGAAAGGCCCAGGCTTCATAATCATCCAGCCTCTCCACCTGGACTTGCACTTGACCTCAGTCCCTGGGGCTTGGTGGCAATGCCTGGTGATGCTAACTACCTGGGCTTGGGCCAAATGGCACCAGCTCTACTCATTGCTTTGTCCCTTAGGAGTGTGTCCTTTGCCTTTTTGTGTGCTGAGTAATTTCTGGTTGAGGTCAGTGTTGCTCCAGTCAGGAGTTGAGCTTTGGGATTTTGCTGTTGCACAGCCTCCTTTGGAGGCCCTCAGTCCCGGCTGCTCTCCAGATGCTCTGTGCTGGACGGCTGGTTGCTCTTGTACTTTCTCCACACTTGTGGGGTTTCACTGTGCTGCAATAGTCAATGTAACCCCCAAGATTTGTGGAGCTCTTTTCTGGTATAGTTCTACTATCTCCATGCTGAGCTCCACACTGGCCCTCTAAACTCTGGCCTGTCTCAACTCACGCAGACCACCATGGTTTACTTGAGTTTCTCGGACTGCTTCATGACCCAGTGTTTTCAGTGGAAAGTTAGTTGGCTCTAAGGCCCATTTCACTGGTTTTTCTCTCCGTGATTAGTCTGTGCTGCCTGCTGCCCAACGTCAGAAATACAGACTTCTCAAATTTGTCTTTTTTTTTTTTTAAGCTCTTATATGAGGTAAATCTGTCCTATGACTCCGTCTGATCTAGGGAGGAAGTTTCTCTTTGGTTGCTTTTCAGAGTTTCTCCTTTGGGGACTTTTCTTAGTTTCACCATAAGCATCTAGGTGTGGGTTTGTTTTGTTTCTTGCTTGATGTTTATGCTTCTGGTGCTTGTGGATTCATGTCTATCATCAGTTCTCATAAATTTTCAAATACTGTCTTTTCTCCTTCTGGAACTCCAATCTGACGTGTGTTGAACATTCTCATTCTATCCTCCAAGTCTAAACCTTTCATTCACATTAAGCCCCTCCTTTTCTCTTTGAGGTACATACAAGACATGCTTTTCTTATCCACCACTCCAAAATTATTGTTTTCACAGATTTATTAGTTTACAAAAACCTGTGTAATGTGTTTCACACACATTACCTTAACCACAATTCACAATTACACTTTCAACAATCCTTTATTTGGTTCCTTTTCCTCTTTATTATGATTTTTAACTAACAACAAACTTAAATGAACATTTACTGGGGAGGATGACTGAACCTTTTTTTTCCTGGACCCACTTGGGAGCAGGTTGCTAACTTCATTCCTCATCACCCAATATTTTAGTGTGTGCTCCCTACAAAGAGTTTCTTCCTACAAATCACCTGTGGTCATCCAAATAAGGAAATGAATTTTGCTACATTACACCAACTGATCTTCAGACCCTATCCACTTTTGCAAATCATCCCAACAACTGGATTCATTATAATGAAAGGATCCAGTTTTGGAAACATGCATTGTGTTCAGTTGTCTTGTCTGTTTTGTCCTCTTGCTCAGTCTTTGCTTTCTGTAACTTTGACACTGTTGAAGATAAAAGATCAATTGTTTTGTAGTATAATCCTCAATTGTTTTGTCCTTACCTAGAGTCAACTAGGTTTCTGTTATGGAATTGGCACAGAAGTTATGCTGTTTCTTCTTTTATGGCCTATCAACGCACAATTTTGATTTACTCCATTCTGAAAATGTTCTCTTTAACCAATTAAGGTGGAATTTTCTAGGCTTTTCCACTGGAAATTTCTTTCTAGACTGCCATCCCAGTGAAGAAAGAGCCTAAACACATGGTCTCCTACTAGCTGTTTAGACTAGTCAGTCCCTTCCAGTCAGAAGGAGTGCAGGTCAGAGGTGTCTTCACACAAGAAATGCTGTCTTAGTGCCTGACTGACATCAGGTTTCTGGTGCAAGACAGAGAGCTGATCCAAAGTGAAATCTGTCTGTAGAGGAAATAAGACGTCCCTTAAACATTTACTCAACGTAATTGATCAAGATCTTTAAATATTAGGTGTTCATGCTTAAAACCTTCTCGGCTAGGGCCTCCCCTGGTGGCGCAGGGGTTGAGCGCTGCGCAGCCTCTGCAGCGCCGGTTGGTTCCGACCTCCGCCGAGGGCCCCACACAAAAAAAAAACTTTTCGGTAGACGATGAAAAAAGTTTAGATTCCCTGAAAAATTTAGTTTTAGGGGTTTTGTAACCAAGCTATTTTCCCTAAAGCACAACGCGACCATGGTTCCATGCGACTGTGTCCTCCAGGGCTCAGCGCGTGGGCGGGCGCCCCACAGACGCGCCTCTGCCGGGCGGTCCCCCGAGGCCGCCTGAAAACCCCCCTGCGGGGATGAGCCCGCGGGCGGGTCAGGAAAGGTTCGTGTGGGTTTTGTTTTGGGGGGTCAGCACGGCTTACAGCAGCGCCCCGGGAACGCTGGTCCTTCCCCTCACAGCTCAGATGAGGCACTTCAGCGGCCCCCGCTCCACTCGCCCGGCGCAGGCCGCCCGGCGCGCGCCCCCGGCCCGCCCTCGCCGTCGGCCCGGAGAGGCCCTGCCGTGCACGTCCCTCTCGGGCTCCAGCCGTTCTCGCGGCCCGGACGTGCACACGCGCTCCACGGCTCGGCCTCGGGCCTCGGGCCGCGGGGTCTCCCGGTCCCGGCTCAGAGTGGACGCACGGGAGACGCGCGTAGGCCCAGCGGCCCGCCCACCTGCCAGTGCGCATGCCCGTCCGCAGACCCGGGCCAGTGCGCATGCTCGCCCCCGCGCGGGTCAGTGCGCATGCTCGCCCCCCGCGCGGGTCAGTGCGCATGCTCGCCTGGCGCCTCGGCGACGCCTGGTCCGGCCGAGGGACGCAGGCTGTGGGGCGGCGGTCGCCCTTGTCCCCCTTCCGTCCGCGCCCGCGGCGTCTACGACGGCCGCTTCCCCTCCGTCTTACTGTCCAAAGACACGCAGTCGGGGCAGGGCGCCCGAGACTGCTGCGCGGGGCCTAAAGCTCTCTCTCCGCCGGGAGGCCCTCGGCCGTAAAGCCAGGGCCAACTGCTGCAAAGCGCCTTACGACAGAGCCCGACCTCGAAGTACGGCCGGCAACCGCCCTCGCCCCCGCGCTGAGCCTCCGGGCCTCAGACGCCGAGCCCGCGGCCGCCGGCCCCTCGGCTGCCCGCCCCGGCCTCCGCCCGCGGCCGCGGCGCCGCGCCCCTAGCCGCGGCCGCCCCCCTCAGCCGCCGCCGCCGCCTCCCGGCCGCCATCATCCCGGCGTGCACCGCGGCGGCGGCCGGGCCGGCGGCCATGTTGCGCTAGTTGGTTGTTTTCTCGCTGCGGCGGAGCAGGGCCGCTGCGGCCCGCCGAGCGCCCGGCTCGCCTCGCCCGCCCGCCCCGGCCCGCCGGCCCCGGCCCCCGGCCCGCCCGCCGCCGCGCGCCCCGCAGCCCGGCGGCCCAGCAGCAGGCTCGGCGGGGCGAGGCGCGAGGCCGGGCCCCGCGCGCACCATGGCGGCCGCCCTGGGAACGGGCGCAGGAGCCGGCGCCGGAGGTAGGTGGGCGCGCGGGCCGGGCGCGGGGGGCCGGGGCCGGGCTGACGGGGCTCAGCCGCGCGCCGCCGCGCTCGTTGGCGGGCGGGGCGCAGGGAACGCCCCGGGGTCGGCTCCGCGGAGGCGCCGGGGGTCGGGGCCGGCTCCGCTCGGGGGGGGTTCTCGCGGCCGCGAGCGCAGGCGGCCGGGGCGCGGGGGGGTCGCCGCGGCGCGGCCTCGCGTGCCGGCTCGGGCCGCTGTTTCTAGGTGCACCGTGACCGCGGGCGTCTGGAAGCGCCGCGGAAGGCCCCGGCGGGCGCGGGGTGGGCAGCCGCCGCCTCGGGGACGCCCCGCGGAGCGCGGCCCGCCCGGGCCTGCCAGGGCTGTCGGCCGGCGACCCCGGCCCTGCGGGCCCCGCGGCCGGGCTTGGTGGGCGCCGGGCCTTCTCGCGGGCTTCTTGGGGGCCTTCTGGGGCCCGCGCGCGCTCGTGGGGTTCGCGCCGCGGAGCGCGGGACTCGGGCGCCGTCGCTCTGGCCGCCGTGGCCGCGCCGCGCGCCGGGTGCTCTTCCCGGCCGTGTCTGCGGGAGCGGGGCCGCCCGAGTGTCCTGGCGCGCAGGCCCGTGGCCGCGTCGGGCGAGGGGCGCAAAGTTTGAGTCGCTGTCGGCGGGCGGGGCGGGCCCGTCGGGGAGGTCGTGCGCCCCCCGCGCCTTCCCGCCGGGCTTGGGCGGAGCCGAGCCTCCCCGCCCGGCCTGCGGCGCTGGGACCTCGGCGCCCCCGAGGACCCCCCGCCGCCCCCGGCCAGTGCTCCGCCTCCGGCCGGCGGCGAGGCCCCCGCGGGGCCTTCGGTCCGGAGAGCCTCTGCCGGCGCCGCCCCTTTGTTTCGGCGCGTGCTCGGGTCCCGGCGGCGGGGGGCCTCCGCGGCTGTTCGCCCTCCTCCCGGCGGGCCGGGGAGCCGCCCCCCGCCCGAGCCCGCGCTGCGCCCCGGGCTGTGCGGGGCGCGGGGCCGGCGAGCGAGCTGGGGCGGGACGGTTCTCTCTCCCCGCGCCCTTCTCCGGCACGCGCGGCCGTGCAGCCGCCGCGAGGTGGGCGTCCGTGGCTCCGCGGGGGCGGGGGGCCTGCGCCCCCCTGCACCCAGAGGAGCGGGCCCGGGGCGGCCTGTGCCTGCGCCCGGGGAGGCCGCGCCTGCGTAGCCGCGGCCGGCGTGCGCGTTCCCGGGGCGGCTGCGGTGGGCGCGGGCCGGGCGCGGGCGCGCGCTCGGAGCTGGGACCCCGCGTGCCCCCGCGTCCCCCCGCGTCCCCTGCGCGGGCCTTGTGGGGCCGCCCCAGCCGCCCCGGCCTGCGCGCCCCAGACTAACTTCGTCCGCCTTGCGCCCCGGTGGTGTCGTGTATGTTTTTCTGATCGCACTGAAGTTGAGCGCTGTTTCTTTTTTCCCTGTGAAATGCTTGTTGCTATCGTGACTGTCTTAACCGGGTCGTAGGTCTGTTGTCATTTTAAAGAATTATTCGTGTTTTCCGCTGGGTCTACTCACCTTTCGCGTTTCGTTGTACTTGCCCTGTAAGCTTGTTTTAACTTTTCACTGCAGGTGATTGGGCCCCCCTTGCCAGGGTTCCTCTGTGCTCTGAACATTCTGTGCTTCTGTCCTTTTTTCCTTAGCTTTTCTTCCATATGGGACTTTATACGTCTGTGGAGTGAATTTCTCCTAGTAGGATGAACTGAATTCTTGGTCTTTAAATATGTAAATTTCTCGTCCATAGTTTCAAAAAATTGTTGCTACATTGTGTGTGTATGTACAGATACAGAACTCTGATGGCGTATTCTTTCAGAAATCTCTTCATTATCTGTGCATTTAAAAATGGACTTAAGAATTTCAGGCTCTTTTAAAAATTATGGACTTTTTACTGGAATTGCATTGAATTTATTAACATAGTCTTGAATGGTTGATATTTTTACAGTGTGAGTTCTTTCATCCAGCAGCAAGAGTGTCTCTTTGTCAAGTTCTTTTTTGCCTGTCAGTCTTCTGCCAGTTTCCTCCCAGTCCCACGGCCTGATACATAGTGAGCAAGATTCCCTCCTGGCTCCTGTGGAACTCACACCTGGCTTTCTCTCCCGCTTGTGCTTGTCTTAGTCATAGATACTTTATATTTGTTGTCGTTGTGGATGATACAGGGGCTTTTTTAATCCTAGTGCAGTAACTGTTACTGATTTTCTATAGGGTTTTTTTTTTTTTTTTTTTTTGGTTGAATGATACACAACTGACTTACTGGAATTTAACAGTTTGGTCCTTTAGGTTTTTCTAGTTTGAAACTCCTACCTCAACCTTTTCTACTCTAATATTTGTATCTTTAATTTCTTTTTCTTGCACTTCTTTGGAAGTTTTCATTGCCAGCTCCTGCGGTATACTGTTGGTTAGTGTGGGTGAGTCCTTTGGGTGCTGGGTGTCTGTTTCTCGTCTTGTTCTGAGTTTAACGAGGGTTCTTTTAATGTCTTGCCATTGAGTGATGTTTGTTGTAGGTGTCAGATAGTTATTGCTTAGCTAAGAAACTTTACTTTTTGAATTGGATTAACTTTAGCAAATGCATTTTCTGCATCTGCTGAGATGAATGACATGAGGGTTCTTCTTTTTTCAGTAATACTTTATACCAGTAGATTTCCAGTGCTGAACCAGCTGTGCGTTCTTGGGCTCACGACCACCTTGTATTGCATGTTTTGTTTTTTTTACTATATAGTTAACATGTTTAATACGTTGGACGTGTGATTACAAGAACGGTTGTCTTACGGCTTTTTCCTCTGTGTTCCATCTCGGTTTTTACAAGCTAGGCTGACTTCTTAGAATGAATTGTGGAAGTTCTGGGGCCAGCTTGTAGATCTCTTATTCAGTGTTGGAGGAACTCTGACTGCAAAGCCTTTGGGGGTCTATTCACATCTATAAGTTATTTTTCAATTTTTCTGTCATTTAGTTCTGTTAAATCTATGGTCAATTTTGATAATTATTCTTTGTTTATATATTCAAATTATTTGACTGAATTACTACTCTTTCCAAAGAATGGGTGTGTTGAAGGTACATTTTCTGAGACCCACCATGTTTGAAAAAATCCTTTATTTTCATACTGGATTGATGATTTAGCTGGGTCTACAGTTCTAGGTTTGAATTGATTTTTATTCGGTTTTTCATGGGGTGGTTTTCCTGGCTTTTTTGAGAGCAGATGTAACTGACAATTTACATGATTGCACTTTCAAAATGTTGTCAAGTGAGTCAGCTAGAAAAGGGGAGGGGGCGTGCAGACCTTGGGCTTCCCGCCACCGGAGGTCCTTGGGTAACCTTGTGTCAGTGAAACCTTTGCTTCATTTTCGTTACATTGATGAGAAGGAAAGATCTTGGCCACTGGCAGATGTTGAAGGCGAAGACATTAATTGTTGAAGGTGCTGATTTCCTGAAACACTTATTTTACTTTCTGGGCTCAAGGAGAACCTATTGAGGACCTTGAGTGAGGGCTTCCTCTGCCTGCGAGAGGCGGTCTCGGTCTCCGGACCGAATGGTCTTCCTGCCTGCCCGGTGCATCTTACAAGGGAGCTAGAGGGCAGGTCACCGCAGTCGCGTCCTCAGGGGCCCAGGCGCACTGCTTGCTCTTGGTAGGCCCGAGTGTAAGTTGCCTTTCTTGCTGGATAACTGCTTTGTCGGGAAGCTGGAGGATGGGTCAGTGAGAAAGTGGGTGTCAGCAGGCTCTCTGTGGGCTAGGGTGCCTGGAATGGGTTCGGTCTGCAGAGCGGAATCTGCGCGATTCCCCCCGTGTGGGAGGGTTTCAGGAGTTGGAGCTCACCTGGCCCTTGTGAGGCTGGAGGTGCTGCCCTCAGGAATAACCCAGACTCCGGCTGTCAGCCAGCTGTCAGGAGTGTGCCTGGAAGCCTCTGTGCCTCTGAGAGCTCTGGGGAAGTGCCCGTGTAGCCCTGGAGGTGCTGGCTCTGATGGAACTCAGGAGGCCACTGGGACTGTCACACTGGTCCCGGCGCAGAAAAGCCCTCTTGCCGCGCATGGTGTCCAGAGCTCACTGCTCACGCCCAGCATCCTTCTGCCTGCTTGTGTCTCCTGCCTCTGCACGTAGTCGTGCTGGTGATTGTCACGCACCCTCCTGTCCGGGAGCACCTGTCTCTGCAGTCAAGCGCAGGCCCGCCCGGGGAGGAGGGTGCTGCACCTTGCCCCACAGCTGGTCTGCATGGCGGCGGGGCCCCCAGCAACTCACTCCCTTTCTTTGACCTTTTTCCTCTGAATGTCACCAATTTTGCAGTTGATCTTCTGCAGTGCGGTGGTTTCACTTTTTAAAAAGAGGGTCTGGGTTCTTGGGGAAAGAATGTCACGGGAACATCCAGTTGACTGAGTGGAGACCGTTTTGTCCTCTTCCTTACTGCCCAGGAAGGGGGGGGGGTCAGGGTCTTGCTGTCACAGCTTCCCCACGGGGAGGCGTTGCCCTGTCTTTGATTTCCCAAAACAGGAAGAGGAAATTCAGTTGGGAAACACGCACATGACCGATGTGCATTATACAGAGTTCACTTTAGGCGCCCGTATGTCTTGTTTTTAATTTTTACTTACATTTTTAGGGTTACATGTTTGCTCCTCCATATGTGCACGAGTCCCACTCGCTGGCCACCCAAACCATCCTTGCCATGCCCATCTGCCTCCCTCCAGGGGAGAGAGATTTTTAAAACAGCAACTGTTTTTTTCAAGGAGCATGACTTAGGGGCCCTTCCTGAGAGCTTGGCCTGGGTGTTGAGAATGTGATAGGTCTGCGGAGTTCTCGACAGGCCCCGGTTCTTTTTTCTAGTCGCCCGTTTAAATAAAGCACCTGGATTTCCTCATCCGTGAGTTGCGGGGTTTTGAGAGGGTGATTGAGAGCGTGCGCGTACCGTACGTGACAGTGGTGTTGCAGCAAAAGATGGCTGGGGACTTTGGACGAGAGCAAACATTGGCAGGCTGTCTGTAAAGAGCACATCGTAAATATTTTCGGTTTTGCAGACCATAGGACTCTGGTGCAACGCCCGAGCTTTGCCCTTGGGCCTGAAAGCAGCTGTGGGCGGTAAGTGACTGACTCGGCGTGGGGTGCTCTGCGAAAGCTTGTTTACATGAGAAGGTCAGCTTTGGCCCAAAAACCCTTCTGGCGGCAGACCCTTCTTGGCCTGCGGGCCGTGCTCGCCGACCCTAGAACCGGACCAGTGCTAGAACCCTGTTCCAAGCTAATCTCGGAAGCTTCTCGCCCTAGTCCCAGGCTCCCGGGAAAGAGAAGGTGGTGAGAGTGCGGGGTCGGGCAGCGGTGTGGCCGCAGAGATCTGATCGTTGCGTCCTCGGAAGTTGTGAAGCGTGCAGGGGGCGGCTCCCTTGTGAACACGGGAGGCGTCTCCAGGGGAGGACAGTGACCGCCGGTCTGGGTCGGGCTTGCGGGCTTCAGGGATGCTCTTGCGATGATCCGACGCCGCGGCGCACACGCTCGCCTCGGCCTGTGAGGGCCTTTGCTCCCCAACTCTCGTCCCGCTTTGCTTCTCCCTCACCTCTGAGCGGTCTCTTCAGCACGCGGCGCCCTCCGTCTGCTCCCCGCTGGAGGCAAGCGCCTGTGCCCAGAAACGGTCCCGGCGCCGACTCCTACGCCGGGCCGAGACCAGGCTCTTCGTCCCTCTATGTCTCGCTGGCCTTTTATGTCCCGGGAGGGGACTCCTAAGCTGGAAGGGGCGACGAGACAGGCCCGGGAGCCTTGCGGCAGGAATCCGCGTTGAACATGCTGCGGCGTTTTCTCCTCAGTTCTGTTCAGGGAAGGCAGACAGCGGTGAGGCCCCCGCTGTGCTGCGCCCGGCAGCGGGGCTGTCCTCTGCAGCCTGCTCCCGCCCGCGGCCCGGGAGACTGCGCGCCTGTGCTCCGGGCAGAGCGGGCCAGCGCGCGCGTCGAGTGGTGGCTCCGGCGGGGCTGTCGCGGCGAGGCGCGTCGCTTTGGAGAAGACACGGCGAGGCAAACGCGTGCCTTCTCCCGCCGGACGCGCCCGCCCGGGGTGGCCGCCACCGCTTGGGGAGCGCGCGTCCCTCCGCTCCTGTCCGCAGGGTCTGGGGGTGTCGTCCCAGCCTGGTCAGAAGTGAAGGGTGGCTCGCAGTTTATTTGTAAACCGTTCATGCAGTAAAAAAAAACTTCGGGGAACAATGGCCACTGGCAGTCCCTGCGGCAGTTCTGTGACGTGGCGGCGGCGGGCCCGTCCCGCGTCACCCAGGCGCCGCCTCGCTGCCCCTGCCCTTTATTTTGAGGGCGAGCGTATCACACCGCGTTGCTCTTTAGACCTGCCTCTCCGTGTCTCTGGGGTACAGGCTCGTGAACACTCGTCAGGGCTTAGGTCACCTGGAAAGGGCCGTTTCTTCACGTCGGGTATTCAGTCAGTGCTCGCGTTTCCGTCAGGCTTAAGTCCGGAAAGTTTAAACATACACTTTATGTGAATTAGTTGGGGGTGTATTTAACTTTTTAACAAGACTGCGCTCTTCCTGGCGGTAACACTTGACATTGCTGTTTTCGGTGAAGGGAGAACGGGCCGCGCCGCAGCCCTGGGACGCTCAGCCGCCGCCTGCACGCCGGGCGCCGCGGGGGCTGCGCTGCGGTCGCTGCGGTTTTCCTTTGCCCGTCCCTCAGCCGCGTGATGGTGAGACTCTTCCTACCTCTCCGTGTCCCGTTCCTGGGTGAAGTCTTTCTTTCACGGAAAATTTTGCCCTTTAAAAAGTGAAGTTGAGTTTTGAGAATTCTTTGTATTTTGCGCATCCGTCCCTTTGTTAGGGGTAGCCTTCGCAGAGACTTCCTCCTGCGCGGGTGTGTCCATGGCCTGAAGGGTGACTGGGAGAGCGTCCGGGTTAGATTTTGTGCAGTGCAGATCGTTGGTTTGCTCTTCTCTTGCTGATGCGCTCTCACCGCCGTGCCTGGCGTCCTCGCCGGCCCCCCGAGCCCAGAAGGATTTTCCTCTGTGCTTTCCAAGGTCTGGATCCGGGCTCACTGCTTTCTCCCCTTCTCCGCGGCAGGGTCGAGGTGTTCCGGCGTCTGCACACACACGACATGGGGGCGAGGGCGTGCCCGCTGCCCAGGCCCTCTGCCCGTCCTCCCGAGCACGGCTGCGCTCGCTCTCCTCGGCGCTCCGCGTGGCAGGGTCCTGTTCCCAGGGTCTGCGGCGAGGGCTGGACTCGGCCGGGCTCGCGGTGACGCTGGGTGCGCTGGGCAAAGCTGCCGAGTCGGCACTCAGCAGACCCTCTGCTCGGCGCGCGCTCTCCTCCGTGGCTCGTCCTTCACGCGCCAGTGTCTCGTCCTTGCCACCCTTCCCGGCAGCTCCTGGTCGTCGCGCCCCCTTCAGAGGCTTGTCTTTCACTCCGCTTCCTCTTGCTCCTCAGTGCGCGTGGAGGAACTCTTGAGTTTTGTCTGCTGAGCTTATGCATCGCAGCCCTGCTTATTTCCTTGTTTCTCTTGTTCTCATAAATAGCAAAACGATTCTCTCGCTCCCTCCTTTTCCGTCTGAATTCCTGTCACTTCTTTTCCTTGACGGCCTGCGCTGGCAGAGCTGGAGCGCAGTGCCGAAGAGAAGGGCTGGAGGGGCTTCCCGGCCCTGGGTGGACATGTCGGGTCTTGGTCTTGCCCAGTAAGCGTGGTGTTTGCCGCGGGTTTCCGGTCCATGCCCTTTCATTGGGACAAGGGCGTGTCCTTCGGTTTTTGTTGATGGGATTTTTGTAAGCAGTGGGTATTGCTCTTTGGCTAATTTATTTCTACTTCGAATGAGATGATCATTGTCTGTTTTTTGTTTGTTAGCGTGCTGTGTATTACAGTGCTTTTTCAAAAAGCGTGGGTTTTTGAATCTTGGATGAATCCTTCATTTCTGAGGTAAACTCCACATGGTCATGATGTATCTTATCCTTTTACTGTGTTGCTGAACTGTATGTGCTGGTTCTTCAAAAATGATTTTTGCTTGTATTGGGACAGTGTTGTCGTTTTTTTTTTAGACTGTCTGGTTTATACTGACCTCATTGGATGAGCTCAGAAGTGTTTTTCTCATCTGGTTCTTTTTTTCCTGTATTGATCTTTATTTGCATACTTTGCTGTCCTTTTGGTTTAAGTTGCATTTTCCCTGTTTCCGCACAAGTTAAAGTAAGGGGGTTGATTTGAGGGCATCTTTATTAGTGAAGGCGTTTACAGCCATCCGTTTCGCTCCAAGTACTGCATTAGCTGCATCCCACAAACTTTGGTACATTGAGTGTTTATGTTCATTTACCTCAAAGTATTTCCTTATTTCTCTAGTAGTTTCGTTGGCCTGATGATTGTGTATGGTTAAATTTTCACATATCTGAATTGTCCACTTTTTTCCTATCAGTCGCTTTACTGATATGCTTTTAATCAGCTTAATATGCTTTGTATGATTTTGCCCTTTTAAAATTCAGGGAGGCCTGTCTTCTGACCAGAGCGCGTGTGCTGGACAATGCCCCGTGTGCACCTGGGAAGGTGCCTTTTGTAGTTGTGTGGCTGGATGTCTTGGCATTTGTCTTGTAGCCGGACATCCGGTGTCAGCTCATCTTAACTTGATGCCATGTGCGCAGACCCTGTTTCTAGAAGGTCACGGTCACGGGTGGCATGGTAGTGGGGAGACAGGACTTCAGTGTGTGGTTTTGGGGCGCACACTTCAGTTAAACTACATTGGGTCACTTAGCAACCAATTCTTGTACTGTTTATCTGTGAATGTATGTATTTCGCCACACTTCTTCACGGTTCTCCTGCGTGCAGAGTGCTCTCTTTGAGCGTGGACGTGCTCCTGCCCGCCGTGGCTCATGAGAATCAGCTGTCGCTGAAATTCGGGCTCCTTTACCGACTGGTTTCTGAGGTTGGTGTTTGAGGTCTGTTCTGACCCAAGGGGGCCCCCGCCCCCCGTTGGCCCCTTTCTCCAGGGACCCGTCATTCTTCTCCGCGCTGCCCCTCCCAGGCCTTCCGGCCGTGGAGCTCATCTCGCCCGCTCGGCCTCGGTGCCGGGGAGCCTGGCGCACGCTGCGGTTCTGGGGCGACGTTGCCCTCGTGTCGGGACGCGGTCGGGGACGGGGTGACGCGGGCCCGCGGGGACGCCCGTCCTCGAGGAGCCGAGCGTCTGAGCAGGGAGGCGCAGTCGTCCCGCAGCTCAGCTGGGCGTGGCGACGCCCCTGTACGCCGCAGGGCAGCTGCGAGCTGGGCCCCCGAGAGCCTCGTCCTTCAGGTGGGGCCTGGGTGGGAGGGGAGCGCGCCCGCAGGGAGGGGGGGCAGGCAAGAGACACCGCGTCTGTTCCAGGGCTCGTCTGCTGCGGAGCAGATGCGTCCTGCGCGGGACAGCAGGCCTGTGTCCCGTCCCCCCCCGCCGCTCGTGGCTCCTGCCCCGTGGCTCCTGCCTGCCCGGGCGCTGGGACGCCTGGGAGGGCCTCGCCTCTGAGGGTGCCCCTGCTTCCTCCTTTATGTGACTCCCGGGAGGGTCGGCATCGGGTCGCGCGTTCTGTTTGTGCCGTTCTCCACGGGCTCTCCGCCGCCCCGAAATGGGGACTGTTTTCCCTTGTAGTTTTGGGAAAACCCGAAGAGTCCGGAGAGTAGTGCAAGTCCAGCTAATCAGCCGTCTTTCCCTTCGGCCGGGCAAGCAGTGTTTACTTAGCGCCGCTGTTCTATGAAGAGAATGATTTTGCTAAAATTTGTGACACAACTCTCGTTGGTGACTCCTCATCCCGTGCCGTGGTCGGCAGACTGGCTTTCTCCGGGCCGCTTTCTGTGGAAGCGTTTCTATTATTTAAACACTTAAAGCACCCAGAGCAGCTGCGCGCGCGGCTTCTGTGGTAAGATGCCCGGCCTGGGCTCCTTGGCGCCGCGGGTTGTTTCGGGGCTGCGTGTCTGACCGACCTTCCTGGCTTCTCCCTCCAGATGACGACTTTGACCAGTTTGACAAGCCCGGAGCGGAGCGGTCGTGGCGAAGGAGAGCTGCCGACGAGGACTGGGACAGGTACGGTGCGCCGGCCGCTCGGCTCCCCGCTCGCGGCTCTGCGCAGACCTCGGGGACCGCTGCCGGCTCGTCCCTGCCTGGCTGAAGCGAGGGGCGGGTTTCAGGCTGTGGGCACCGCAGCCGGCCAACTGCCCTGCGCAGGCCTGGCTCTGCGTGTCCTTGCTGCGTCCTCCTGCGGTGAAGGGGCCGCGTGGTCCCAGAGCCAGGGCTGGAGTAAGGGGACGTCGGTGCCCCATCTGCGCCTCATCCTGCCACGTTCCCATGTTTGCTGCTGTACCCTGTGGCGTGGCGCGGCGCCTCCTGCGGTCTGAGCCCGCGTCTTTCTGGTTAGTGTTGAAGGGGAGACCTGTGTGGGAACACACATGCGTGGAAGGTGAACAAAATCCACGGTTAGGAGCGATGGTGAGTGAGGGCGTTCCTCCTGGAGAGGAGCTCTGGAGGTTCGTGGGGGGCCCTGGGGGGGGCATCCTTTCATATTTCTTACCATTTTAAACACTGGAAAACGCAAGGCTTAGCCTGCAGTTGCCGTCAGGGAGCCCGTCATGACGCAAGCTGAGCTGAGTGAAGAGCCATGGTGACCCCACGGTGACCAGAGCTCCCGGTTCCTGCTGGAAGCCGTGCTGTCCCGGGGATCCCCGGGGTGATCTTCTTTGAGGCCTCCCAGTCATTTCTGTCCGGGTCCGGGCCGCGGCAGAGCAGCCCGCTCACTTGGGTGGGCGAGTCAGGGCTCGGTGTGCGCACGCCTCCCGCTGACGTTTGCCGGGGCATGATTCTTGGGCCGTCAGCCAGCGCGACGCCTTCCGCAGCGACGCCGTCCTGCCGGGAGTGTCGGTGACGCGTTGTTTCTGAAGTCCCGGGTTGGGGGCTGCTTAGACACGCGGGGTTTCCGCTCACCGGCCAGTCGTCTGTGCCTGTTTTTCTCGTGGGTTGTGTGTCCTTTCTTGACCGGAGGGATGCGTTACGCTTTCTGGAAGGCACTTCGGTGCGTGGAGAGGTCTCTGCCCAGTCTGTGACGTGTATTTCCTTAAATAGATTTTATGAGCCTCCAATTTGCGATCTTTTTCTGTTGATTTTTGTGTGTATTTTAATTAAATTATAAGAAAGTCTTTGGAAATCGTGTCAGCCTCCCTGCACGTGTGGCCATGTGAGCGGGGCTGCCTGACGTCATTGGCCCTGCCAGGATGAAGTTGGGGTTCGTGAAGGCGCTTTCTTACTCCCCCTGGCAAAGGTCGGTTGTCCCGAGGAGGCCTCTGTGCAGGCTCCTCAGTCGCCCTCGCCTTCAGTGTGTGATCGGGCGACCCTCCGCGCGGTGTCTCCTCGGCGCTTGTGGGGCACGGCGATGCCCATTGCAGTGCTGGCTGGAGGGGGCGACACTGAGAGCGGAGTAGAGTGCAGCAGAGCGGCGGGCGCCCTGGAGAGCGTGCGGTCGTCGCTTAGCCAGCACCTGGGTCCGGGAGGTGTGCGTGGGGGTGTGCGCGGGGCCCTCCTCCACAGCCTGAGCCCTTCTTCACCTCCCGCCCAGGCTGCCGCTGCTGCCTGGGAGCCTCGCTGCGTGCCCTTTCAAAGAAGTCGGTTCTGGCTGCTCAGTTCCTCAGCGCGCTGCTGCTGACGGCCGGCGATGGTCTCTGAGAGGCCGGCCCTGGGGCGCGAGTCCGCTGACGGCACCCGGGAGGCGGTGCAGGCCTGGGCGGAGTGGGCAGCCGCGGCACGCGGAAATCAGGCTGCCTCTGCTCTGGCTGGGGGCCGGGCTGGTTGGTGAACATCTCGGTGCCTCCGTTTCACACTGAAAATGGGGTGACGTCAAGGTCCACCTGGTGACGTGGTCTTGTCGGCGGAGGAGCTAGTGAGTGGAGCGGCCTGGCGCCGCCCGCCGCCTGCTGAGGGTGCTCCGGAGTGCCCGGAGCTGTTGTCCCTTCGTGTGCTCTTGCGCCACCAGGGGAGGCCCTCTTGCTGTCTTTTAAAAATGCTTTTGTTTAGCAAAAGCGGGGGTAATCAGCAAAGGTTGATTTTATTTCCATATACTGTCTTGTCGGCAGAAGGCTTGAGTATTTTCTAGATTTGCTTGTGCAGTAATGAACCCCTATTCTTGGTGACACGGTCTGGAGCGGGGGATTGCCTATTTCTAGTCATCTTGGGTAGCGCCCCAGACGTGCTTGCTGTCTGCAGGGTGGCTCAGCAGCTCTGCTGCTTGCGGGGATATTGCACCCCAAGGTACGAGACTCCTGTCTAAAATGTGATCGGGTGTCGCGTGAGGTGGAAGTGCTGGAGGAGGCCGTGCTGCTCTGACCCGAGTGACGCCCGAGGCTGCTCCAGGGCTGCTGGGCTCTTGTCCTGCCCCTGTCGCGCTCTGTGACCATGGGCAGGCGAGTGACTCTTCCTCCTTGTTTCTCCACGGTGAGGGTGCAGGGTTCCTGGCCCCGAGCTTAAAAGAACAAAGGGGTGTTAAGCGCACAGGCTGAGTCGTTTGTTGTTTCTGGGTCTAAAAGGCATCGTGGGAAGGCGCATTCCCTTGCGTGCGCGCAGATGGTGCCTCGTGTAGCTGCACGCACTCCCGGCCATCCCAGCCCCGCGGAGGAACACGCTAGACAGAGACCTGGTTTTGGGTAAAATAGCTCAGACCCGGTAGCGCTCACGGCAGCCTGCCCAGACTCGGGCAGAGCAGCAGTCCTGGCGGGGTCTCGGCGCCCTTGGGTCTCTGACACGCATGCCTAGAGTCAGCGCCCGCGCTTCCTCCTCCTGGACGGTGATCTTTAAAGACGTCTGCTGCTAAAAGGTTGGTCTCCCTAGAATGATGCGGGGCTGGCCGTGTCTTCAGCTTCTTGATCTGCTGAGGGCTTCTGTCTTCTGTTGGACAGTCTCATCGCTGTCAGACATGAACACGCCGACAGGACTTTGCAGCTGGCCTGCGTGACTCCACGTCACTCAGCCTTCCCCTCAGGCCCTGTGATCGATATGTGCGTCCTCAGCAGCCTCGGTTTCCAGTTTTGCCCTCTGAAGAGTGTCAGATGGTCTCTCGTGGTTCTAATTTTTTAATTTCCCCAGTTAACTGTGAGGGGGCGTCTTTAGCGCCATCAGTGTGGGTCTCTGGAGGTGGAGCGCGAGGACACGCCTCCTCACAGCCGCCGCTTGGCCAGGTTGCTCGGTGGGTCAGAGAGACGGAGCTCACGCTGCAGCGAGGCAGGCCAGGTGTGGGGCTATTCGAGACCCCTCCTGCACTGGCCCTGGTGGTCCTTGGCCACTGATCGCCCCGTGCTATGTTTGAGCGTGCTTTCCGTGCTTCCAGAGGCAGAGGGAATTGGGCAGAGTTGCTGTGGAAGCATTGATCCCAGAGCCCTCAGCCAGTTTCACGGCCACCCACAGTCGAGAGTGATAGGAATGACCCAGTGACATATTTTTTTTTTCTCCCCAGTGAACTTGAAGATGACTTACTTGGAGAAGATTTGCTGTCTGGCAAAAAGGTAAGACATACAGGTGCCCCCAAACTCAACGGTAGCCCCTGCACCTTCCCCCGCCCCCCCCCCCCGCCCGTGTCCAAGGACTGGGCACCACCTACCCACGGGGTATGACCCGAAAAATGCAGTATAGATTAAAATGTTGTGACTTAAAGTGTATCTTAAATGCAAAGGAGCCACTGTCACTACCGTCCCTTAGAACGCGAGCAGCCCTCCCTTGAAGCAGTTGCCTTGGTTTCTCCCTGTCCCGGGCGCTTGCGAGCACAGGCGCGGAGTGAGCAGGATGGGGGCTGCCGCCGGCCTGCACGGCGCCTGCTGTGGGTGGGAACGCTTGGCAGCTGGGTTTGGGACTCATCTTTTGGGGGTGTTCAGAGATTAAAGATAAACGTAGTAGTAAGACACATAAGTAAGTATGAATTAGATCTAATTTAGGTTTTTCTAAACCTTCTTCGGTCAGGTAAAATCTTTGAAGCCGGCACCTCTGGTGTGTGCGTCTCTCAGGATGTTTTCAGTACAGTGAAAGTTGAGTTAAAAGTAGAAATAAAGAGCCAGGGGTTAAGGTGAAATACTAAATTTTATTTCCAGGGCCACCCTGGTGGCGCAAGGGGTTGAGGCACGGCCTGTGAGGCTGTCCGCAGCCTCTGCGGCACGAGTTCGAGCCCTGGCCAGGGAGCTACCCACATGGCGCAGCAGACCTCTCCTTCGCCCTGCTGCTCCCCTCAGCAGTGGATTTCGGTCAACTGCCTGTTCTGTTCTCTGCTCTGTCTCTGTTGGATCCTCTCACCTCCCCCCACCTCTGGCCTGTACCCCAGCTTTTGTGTGCGTAAATAAATCTTTAAAAAAAAAAGAGTATTTCAATATCAATTTTATTTTCAGTCTAACGATGGTGAATCAACTCTGTGTTGCTTGCTGTCAGCACCTTTATGTTCAAGCTTATCATTTTTTTTTTAAAGATTTATTTATGCTTACAAGAACTGGGGTACAGGCCAGAGGTGTGGGGGGTGAGAGTATTCACCAGAGACAGGTTGGAGAGCAGAACAGGCGGATCCACTGAAATAATACACTGCTGAGGGAGCAGCAGGGAGACAGGAGAGGTCTGCTGTGCCATGTGGGCAGCTCCCCGGCCAGGGGATCGATCTCATGCTGCAGTGTCTGCCGACTGCTTCATAACGCTGAGACTTAACCCCTGCATCCCCAGGGAGGCCCTCATCATATTTTTAAGCGATGGCATCACATGCGTGATTTTTCTGATTTTAGATTTTCCTGTTACTTATTTGTAATGTAATTGATGATCTCAAATACTAGTTTTATTCATTTCTTGTCACTTATCCCATCACATGGCTAGCATTTTCTCTAAGACATGAGTTCATCATAGGATCCTTTCGAAGCTACTTTTTTTGCTGTGTCCGGTTTCCTACTGCACCATTGGCCTGTTGGTGGCCTGGCTTCTGCCTGGCCCGCCCTTCCCTCCTTTGGACAGCTCTGTCAACGCCTATAGCTCCTAAGAATTCGTTTAATTCCTTGTAAGTTGCCATCTCTTGGCCTCCTGAAAGCCAGCGGGAGTGGGGGTGTAATGCATCCCTGTCGTTGGAAGTGGAGATCCAGGGTGGAGCCCCTCAACCTGTCTTCTCCTTGGGGTGCTGCGGGTGCGGTGTGATGCGGCTGTCAGGGCCAGGCCTTCCGGGTCCCGGCATGGGGGAGCGGTATCTTGTTTTCCTTGTAACGTAACGAATCAGCCTGCTTTTCCCGGAAGTGCTCTCACTATCCTTGGGAATCCACTGCCACTGAGTAGACACCTCTTCCCTTGCAACTATTTGAGGTGCTTTCTGAAGAATACCAGTTAGCGGTGCACATGTTTAAATGTTGTGAATATTTTTACATCAGGTGGGATTCCTCTCTCTTGACAAGCCCGGCGTATCCTGGATTGTCTTGTGCCTCCATCCAGGCGTTCCCCTGGCCCCCGCCCTCCCCGTGGTGTGCCTTCGCCTGCATCCGGGAGCTCTGGCAGGACCTGGGCAGCGAGGATGGAGCAGCGCGCGGGGTCCGGACGTGGTGCGGACGGCCCAGGAGTAGGGGCGTCGTCCTGCCGTTGGGGTTTTTTGGTATCTGTCGGTTTTTTTGTAGCCTGGCCCCCTTCCACGCTACAGTGAAATGGGGGTGCAGGCTGTCCACCCGATGTCCGCTTCCCAGGCCTCGTTGGTCCTAGACTTTTCGACAGGTTTGCTAAATTGGTTACATCGGAGCTGTGGGTGTTTGCTCCTCTCTTCCCTCCGACGTGCACACGTTCCTTGTGGGGCCCCAGGCGTTGGAGTATGTTAAGAGACAAGGAAAAAGTGTCGACACTTCGCTCAGTTTCCTTTCACTTGCCCCGCGTGTGTAAGTACAGCTTAGGTTTATGCACACGCCTGTCACGTTTTGTAATTTGGATTGTGCCACGGGCATATTCCCCTGTCATTAAATGCTGTTCTGAGATGCATGACGACCATGTCATGCTTCAGTGTCTGCGCTGCGGCACGCCTGGCCACGCCCTGGCCTGCCCCCACCTCACCGCTTGTACCTTTTAAAAAAACTTACGGGAAACCTTCCGCGAGCGCAGGGAGAGCACGGGAGAGCCCTGCACACGTGTCTGTCACGCTTCTGCACCCGCAGTTAAAGGCAGTCTTCAGCTTCCCTACCCCCCCCCCCCGGATTATTGGGCAATAAATCTCAGACGTGGTATTTTAATGTACCGATCTTATTTATGCTTTTGCTGCTGTTAGGAAAGTCCCGCCAAGAGGAATTTCTGGCCTCCGGCTATAAAGATGTTCAGGTTCTGGTTCCAGATTGCCAGAGTGCTTTCCACAAATCCTCGCTCGGTGCCTGACAGCCGTGTGCGAGCTTTGCACCCACCTCTCCGGTGCCTGTCATCTTTGGCATATTCCTGTGCGTAGGGGGGATAGAAGTGACGGACACCGGGCTGATGGTATTTGGTTTCTGGTAGGGCTCGCTGCGGCGCCACGCACAGAGGGCTGCTGCTCAGGGCCGTGGCGGGAGCCCCGAGGGCGGGGGGACCCTGTGCCTGCCTTTCTCCCACGGGAGCCCTGCTGGAAGCACCTCGTGGCACCCTGTCCGCACGGGGACCCCAGGTCCGTGGCGGAGACAGCCGCGGGCAGGCCCATCCGCATCAAGGAGGGAGGCCCAAGTTGGGGTCCCCCTTGTAAGGCTGACGTGAAAGTCGCCAACCAGCAAAGCAGTCAGTGCTGGGGAAGTTGGGTGAGCTGGGGCGCTGGCGTGTCGCTACTCCTTTAGCCTCTCCTTTTACCTGCTGCGGCGTCGGGCCCCGAAGAGCTGCTCCTCTAGTCCCCCGAGTATTCTTGGGGCAGACTGCCAGGGTTGGGGACTGTTGGGAGGGCCTCTTGTTCCCCCTACTTTTAAATCCCCCCGTGTCCCACGAGAGATCCCACATTCTTGGGGGGCCGGGAGATGCTGCTCCTGTTCGTCCCCCTTCTCCTGTCAGGGGTAGGCCTGGCTGCTTGGCAAGGGGGAGGAAGGGCCTCACTCACACTCAGGGCCCCGTTCCCTTCCTCTTGGGAGCGGTTTGCCCTCTCCCGAGCCGAGTCTTCCTCGCGGCTCCGGCCTTGGCTGAGAGATGGTGGCCCGCCTGTCTTCAGGTCGGAGTTGGGGATTGGGTTCACTTCAAGGACTGAGTCCTGGTCCCACCCCCTTGCCCTCTGCCAGCTTCTCCAGTCATGTCGGCGTTCTCACCACTGCCCCCCGGTCTGGTGCTCACAAGGTTCAGAACCCGCAGGGTGTGTTGACTCCCCAGAGATCAGAAGTGGCCCTCACAACAGATTTCTTTTTTTGTTTGGTGAATTAGTTATCATTTTACTGATTTTTGACATTTCAAAGTTTAACAAAAACTCTAGGAAGTCGTTTCTTACTGAATGAAATTTGACTTTCATTGTGTGGCTGATTTGTAAATATTCGCTGTGGAGTTACTGAATGAACTGGGCCGCTCGCCTTAGGCCTGCCTGGCTCCCCTCATGCAGAACAGGCCAGGTCTGCCCGCCGGGCTCCTGGGCCACGTGGTGGACATTCCTTTGGGTCTGTCAGGTTTTCCTGCAGCTCCACGCTTTCAAGTAAAGTGTGTGGGCTGCATTGCTTTATTTTTTCTTGCTGTAATGTCAGTGATTCGGTGGAGTCCCTTGGGACCGGTAAGAACGAACAAGATTGATGTTTCTCGGCTTACGTAATGAAGAGCATATAGACAGGTGCACTTCTTTCTTTCCTGTAAGTAGGACATCAAGTGGGTTTTTTCCTGCTTTTCCCTCCAGTAGAGTGAGTGTATGTGTTCATCTGCACACTCGTGTGTGACTGATTATCTGGGGGTGGGGGCAGGAGCGGTCATTTGCACATATCATGGACGACCTTTCAGCAGGGAGGAAGGTGTTACGTCCCTCCCCATGATGCGGGTGTATGTCTGACCCCCAGCCCGGCTGCGGGAACGTGGCTGGTGCCGAGACCGCCAGGCTGCTGCTGAGACCGCCAGGCTGCTGCAGGGCGGGGCTGGTCTGGGTCTTCACGCGTCGTCAGTGAGGGGCAAACCACAGCTTTTGCCTGGTCTCTTACATTTCAGCTGGTCATCCAGTGATCTGCAGTCCTTACTTCTAGAATTTTTGTTTGTTTCAAAAGTCTTTAGATTTTGAATACTAAACAGTATGAAATTTAGTCAGATCATAAGGACATCATAAAAAATTGTGCGACATCACCAAAGGACGCTTCTCTTTTTCCTTCTTTGTCAGAATTAGAATAAACGGGATCTTTATGTTTGCTGCTTCTAGCTTACAGACTCTGTGGCCCACTGGGTCCGGGGTAGTGTCTTGTGCCACGTGTAGGGTCTCCTGGTTGTCAGCTGCTTGCACTGACCTGTGGACACCTTCTGAGTGGCAGGTGTTTAATGGCCTAAGGTTAGAGACAATCCAGCCAACGTGATTTTGCACTTTTCTTAACAAGTCTTTTTTATGGGAGTGACGTGCATTAACTGGGCTTCTTATTTTAATTAGAACCAGTCGGATTTGTCTGATGAGGAGCTAAATGATGACCTTCTGCAGAGTGATAACGAAGACGAGGAGAATTTCAGGTACTTGGTATCATGCTCGTTAAAAACGCTTTTTATTTAAATTGCTCGGTCATCTGTAATCATCGTTACTGTGGGGTGTGATTGACAACGTAATGTACCTTTAACATAATTTCAGTAATGTAACTCTTTGTAGAAGGTATGTGCATGTTTCTATAAATAGGTCAGCTGGTTACAGTCATTGTTTGTCTTGCTCTGAATGACCCTGGTCATCCCACTGAGAGCAGGACATGAAAGCAGCTCAGGTGCGTGCTGTTCCTTACAAGAGCGCTGTCTGGTCTGGATGGAGGTGGGGCAGCCGCTGCAGACTCGTAATGCTCCCCGCTTCGGTTTGCTGTCGCTGCTCCTGCTCCGAGTCTGAGGCCGTCTGCATGCACATCTGCTGTTGGCGTGCCGTTTGGGGGATTCCTTTGGCCCGAGCTTTAGATTTGCTATACACAGTCGCTTTAGTGTCTGTGGGCTGGCACGCAGGCCCATAGAGTGGACAGCGTGTAAGCTGCAGTAACAGAGGCCTCGTGTCCCAGAGGCTGGGCGGTCCAAGGGCAGGGTGTGGGGTTGTGTTCTCGGGGCTTATCCGTGGTGAGCTGTGTCCTCGCATGCTGACAGGACTGCGGGGTTCTCCAGGAGCCCGCTGTAAGGTTCCATCCTCATGAGCAGCCTGATCTCCGCAATCCTGCCTTGGCTGCTAGGGTTCGGCATGCAGTGTGGGCAGGAGGGAAGCAGATCATTTAGTTCAGAAGAGCGGCAACCGCCTTCCTGTGGCGGCGGAGTATGCTCTGTTTCAGGATGCCCACAGTGGTAGCGCGCTCTGCAGGTGGGGTACGTTTTTTAGTTTTATGAGGAAACAGTGAAAACATAGTTGTCATTAAAAATGTGTCATTTATAATTGAGCTGTAGATTCATAACAGGTTTCCTAACATAAAGCGCTTCGCATGGCTGAAAATAGTCTTAAGTTTCTCGGTTCCATTATGCGACATCATTATTATATTTCAATCTTTCGGGTTGGCTGAGTGGCCTTTGTGTGGTGTTGGGGCTCCTGGATCCAGTTCCCTGAGGTAGCAGGTGCTGAGGCTTCGCCTCACCAGTAAGCGGTGCTTGGACCCCTGCGCGGGGTGTGCGGGTTCGGCTCATTCTCATACTGAGCCCAGAGACAGCGTCAGGTGCCACCGCTTTTAAGGGCTCCGTCTCCCAAGTCTGCCCTCCACCTCTGATCGGCCACGGGCCCGGTGCCAGCTTTGACTTCTGCCACCTGTTTGTCTATCAGGGGCCCCCTTGAGCCCCGGCTCAGATTTGAAGGGCCGTCACAAGCCCAGATTATATCATCTGTGCTTCTGACCCACGGGCTAAAATTTGTGAAGCCAGGGCACCCACTTCAGCTTGGATTAATTTGCTAGGGTGACACCCGCAACTCAGGAGCCCCATTTACTCACCAGCTCATGCTTTATTACAAAGGACACCCTTCAGCAGCCTTATGGGGGAGGCTACAGGGGAAGCCCTCTCCAGGGGGGCCCGTTCGCCCTCAGATCTTCACACGTCCGCCAACCCGGAAGCTCTCGAAGCCCCTTCCTCTTGGGCTTTTATGGAGGCTTCATTTAGTGGGGGAAGGGGTGGTGATCACATCACCGGCCATTGCATTTGAATCCCACCTCCTGCCCCTTTCCCTTGGCAGGATGCGGGGAAGCGGGACTGAAAGCCCCCCCTCTGTTCCGGGGGTTTCCCTGGCGGCCAGCTCCCTTCCTCAGGGTTCTCCCGCCTTACCTTCATCAGCATCGGGAGAGAGACCTTTACCGGTCTCTGCACTTAAAGACATCCCAAAGGGAAGGACTCGCCAAGACAGTGGAGAAGACCGCTGTGCAGAAGAACACGTTTTGGTCACCCGATGACCAAATGTATTTCCTGTAAATCGCCACAGCGCACCTTAGAATATGCCTTTGGGGTATTTTAGCCACATGATGTCTTCCGTTGTCCAGGTGGCATCTCTCTGTTGGGGCTTTGAACGCGTGCTCGCATGTGCAGTGTTGCCTCGTTGGGCACTTAGCGGCTGTGACTTCACAGGGGACTGTGACTTCTTATAGCCGTAAAACTCTTAATGTTTTACTCAAATTATGAACTATTTTTGAAATTTGTGATTAGGATGAATTTTACTGAGCAACAAAACGTATTTTCGAACATTTTTGGTATTTTTTCTTGTTTTTTAAAGATTTACTTTATTTTTGCATGCTGGGGTGGGGTGAGAGGACTCACCAGAAAGAGAGTGGGGAGCAGAACAGGTGGATCTACTGAAATCCACTGCTGAGAGGTCTGCTGTGCCCTGTGGGTAGCTCCCTGGCTGGGGATTGAAGGCCTGCAGTGGCTGCTGATAGTTCGTAGTGCTAACACCCAACCCCCTGCGCCACCAGGGAGGCTCCGCAATTTTGATTTTTTAAATAAAAGTTTGTAATTTGTATCATAGATTTAAAAAAGACAATTGTTCTTAAAATGCCATCTGTGGTTTCTTTTTATAGTGTAACGTTCCAATTTTTTAATTCGAAATCTTAGAAAAGACACTGTCCTTTCCATTCTGAAGTTAGAGTAAGTAGTCTGTTTGCTTTCTGTCCTCAACTTTGGCCAGTTGGACTGTTTTCCACCTGGTTGATCTGAGCCTCCTGGTCAGGCAGCCGGCATTGCCTGGTGAAGCTGGCGCGCTCGGAGGGCGGCGCTGCCCCACGCAGCCAGGTCTGGGCGTCCTGTGGGTCAGTGTGCCTTTCTCGGGGAGCGAGTCGGCCTACCTGGTCCTGGTGTACGTCTTCACAACACGTGCTTTATGTGATGATTGAGTCTTGAGCTCTGGCCTAACGAATTGGGTGCCTCTTTGTGTACTGTCCTCCAGCGCTCAGGGCGTCACCATTAGTCTGAACCCAACCTCTGGCATGGTCACGTCGTTTGAGCTGTCTGACACCACCAACGACCAGTCCGGAGAGCAGGAGTCTGAGTATGAGCAAGGTGAAGATGAGCTCGCTTACCCCAAGTCTGATGGGTCTGAACTGTATGCCCAAGAGTACCCCGAGGAAGGGCAGTATGAGGGCCATGACGCCGAGCTGCCCGAAGACCACATCGCGTACGTGGGCGAGCCGGAGGAGGAGCAGCTGTACAGTGACGAAGTGCTGGACATCGAGATCAACGAGCCTTTAGATGAATTCACAGTGAGTCTTTCTCCTTTGTTTGGCCACAGATAACGTGGCTGCCGGGGGTATAGGTTTCTGGCCCGATTTGAAATCGGTTTCCCTCCCTTGGGAGGGAGGGAAATTAGACCTTATTATCACTGTCTGCCAGTTTCTTTATCTGAGCTGTGACAAAGTTTGTGTTGACAGCTTGTTTGGCCAGAGGTAATGCTCCTTTGTCATTCTGGAAGGCTGCACAGAATTGTGACCTTGAGGATTGCACCCTAAGGAAGAAAACAGCTTTGTGTGGTGGAGACACCATGTCAATTGTTGGAAGTACTTAATGCAGAGCTTTTATCCAGGCTTTAGACAAAATCTGATAAAGTCCTTCTAAGGTGAAAAGATTATTGACCTGCTAAAGACATCTTTAAGGTGCTAATACTCCAGAGTGATTGATGTCCTGTTCATTCATCCTTTTTTTGTAACCGAGAACTGTCTAAATGTGAATAAAGAGGTTGGAGGTTAGGTTAGGAAATGTCACACGTTATTTGTTATCTATAATCAGGAAGCAAAGATTGTGCTGATTTTTATTTCAGAGAGATGATTTTGGTAGGTAGAGAGCTTTTTTTATTTAACTTGAACTGTCAAGAAAGGAACAGGTACTAATGAAAGGTTGCTCGTCTGTGGTGGTTCATCAGTAAAAGATTCATATTTAAAACGGACACTTACTGCAGCCTCGTGGACGGACGTGCTCCCCAGCGCTGAGGGCTCTCGGGACCTTGGGGTTTGCTGCGTGCGGGACCGCGGGGCCGTGGCTGGGCGGAGGCCTGGCTGACTGGGGCTTCTCGGAGCCCTTTCACGAGACCAAGAACTCTGCTCTGTTTTCCCTCAGAGTAAGCTTGAACCGAGAAGAAAGTCCAAGCGCTGCTGAGTTTTTGTCATGGGCTGATTGACACGTGACGCATATACGTGTGAATAGCTTTGACAGGGATCATTTACACGGAGCCTTACTCAGTTCTGGTCGTGATTCTGTGGTCCTGAGGGGTCTCGGTGTTCAGGACTCATTCCTTCCAGAGAGCTCTGTCCTCGCGGGGAGAGCCCTGCACGCGCCTTCACGCTCTGGTCCAGAAGTCTCGTGAGAGACGCCGCGGCGCCTGTTCTGGTGGGCAGCCCCCCTCTGCTTTGTGGTGTGTTTAAAGGGACGCTAGAATTTAAAACGCCTCTTAAAGAGCAAGTCAAGATCTTTTAAAAATTACAGAGTTATTCTCTAGCTAACCCTTGCCTTACCCCTGCTCATCGGGGCGGTCTTCCTCCTGCCGGGGCCTGTGCTGTGTTCCTCCAGCGCCGGGCAGCTCCGCGCTCCTGCCCAAGCTCCAGGCACAGCTGCTGCTGAGCAGGAGGCGGGGGCTCGGTCCCTGCCTCTGCCCGCCCAGGACTGAGCGCACCTCCCGCCCAGTGTGCTGCGCCCCCACTCCGTGCTCGGCCGCGGGGGCCCTTGCCCCACCTTCTTGCTCAGTTTGTCGCTGAGAGGACTCCCAGTCGACTCAGTGGCCCTCAGTCCACCTTGAGGCTCCACTGAGGCCCTTGTGTGAGACCCCCCGCCCGTGGCCTGAGGGTGCAGGCCTGGGCAAGGAAAGAACGGTGCCAGTTCAGTACTCGGCACTTTTCCACATTAAAATGAATTTTTTTCCAGAATTCAGAAAAAATTCAAGGCAGGATTCTTCACTCAAAAATTCTGGTGCTCCTGTTTCACCATCGTGCCCGCAGGGTGAGGTGGCACCGTTCCGTCCCGCGGCCTAGTGCGGATGGTGAAGGCTCAGCTCGCCCGGTAGCCGCGGGCGCTCCTGTCTCCCAGCCCCGTTCTCAGCGGCCCTCAGTTCCCGCAGCGCCGCCCTCTGCCCGGACTCTGTGGCTGATGAGACAGAAGCTCTTGACCTTGGCGTTCCTGTCTGGTTCTGCCTGCCGCATCCCCGTGCCCGAGGCGTGTTGGTGCGTCCGATGCCATGACCGGTTCCACGTCCTCGGGTGTCACTCTGATGCCGCCCCCCCCCACCCCCCCGCCGGAGTGAACCCACCTCACGTTCTGCCTGTTGGGGGTCGAGACAGAGAGGCCCGGAGCTTGCCGGCTGGGCGGGGCCGCTCCCGGGTGGAGGCTGTGCGCGCCCTTTCGCGCCTCTCCCCGCCTCACCCCCTTCCTCCCGGTGCCTCCGTCAGAATCGTGCGCCTTGTTTCCTGTCTTCCACTTGCGACGCTGTGGGGCGCAACTTTCTCCAGCTGAGTTCCTCACCTCGGGGCCCTCCGTGTTGTGCCGGGGGAGTCCTCTTGCTTACGGCTGCGCGTGGGCCCCCTTCGCCCGCGCTCCATGGGTGAGGGGCGCTCGGGCTGTTCCCGGACCCTGGAGGCGGAAAATGCCGCGGTGAACACGGGGTCAGGTGTTTCGGCAACTGAGGGCCTGCCGGCCTTGTGCTCGTTGGTGATACTTGCAGGGGCCCTTCTTTCTCGCGGTGGCTGTCTCCGGCCAGCAGGCCCGCTTCCCTCCGTGTGGCCCGAGGGCTGCCTGCCTGGCTGACCCGCCCCTCCAGTTCACACAGGCCTGGGCTCCGCCTCTCCCGGGGGGGCTGCCGGGAAAGCACTTCTGATGCGCGCTGGACGGAGCCTCCGTGCTTCCGCGGCCCTCTCGCCCGCAGACGGCTCTGTGGGCACCATTCCCGACTCCTTGGAGGCCGAGCTGCCCCACGGTGCCACGTGCCCACGCCTGGTGGTGGTTGGCCAGCGCGCTGGGACGGGGCTCCGGGATCTTGAGCAGACGGTGCCTGACCTCAGGCCGGGCCGGCGCTCGCTGCTGCCCAGGACAGTTGCTAAAATAGGGACGCTGGAGTCGTGAGGGTGACAGGTGCCTAAAGAACTCCAAAAGTCAGGTAAAAAAAGCTAGTTTTCTTTCATGGCTGTCAGGGTGAGGAGCCCTTTCAGGCTTGTGGGCGTCCAGGGCCACAAGAGCAGGGCGGCTGTGTGGCCTGGGGCTCCCGGATCGGCGCAGGGAGACGTGTGCTCTTGGGTGCGCGTCCCGGCGCGCCAGGCGTTTGTCCTTCCGGATTTGATAGGCCCGTCTTTTTTGGCACGAGTGAGAAGTTGATACATCTCCTTCACACACCTGTGAGCGCAGCGAGAGACCCGAGCTTTGTAGAATTTTGGCCTGTGAGCTCTGGACCGCTGAGCTTCCAGAGCACTTTGCTGTTCAAGCGTCGCAGCATGTTGAATGTCTTATGGCGGTGTCGGAGGAGCCACACCCCGGCGCTCTGGAGAGAGGGCTGTTGTTATTTTAAGTTAGTTCATTTTGACTGTTACTCAGAAATGACCGCCAGGGAGCCTGCCTTTCCGTGTTAGAGAAATGAGGGTGACTGAGGAGCTGGCGGCCCCTTGAGAAGACAGGGAAGTCGGCCTCCCAGGGGCGGCTCAGAGACCCGGCTCGAGGGGCCGCAACGGGAGCCCTGCTCTCGGAGGGAGGGGGCGGAGGGAGGCTGGCCTGGGCAGGGATGTCCTTTGGGCCAGCGCAGCTGGTGTCTGTTTCCCAGCCTCGAGCTGGTCGTGCGGGCCACGCACGTGAGCCACGCACCGTCATCCTGTAGCCTCGGAACTCGTGGGTTGCAAAAAAATTTCCTTGTTAATAGTTTTTCTTCATTGTTTTCCTTAGTGCTTTTCCCAGGAGAGTTTGAAAGTGATGATTTCGTTGGCTTCCGTCCTTTTCTTTAGGAGTGACGTGGGCACCCAAGTTCTCCGCACCGTCGAGAGGAAGTGTTTGTTTCTCCTTTGAGGCCTAGGGCGTGTTCGTGTTTTAACCGTACCTCCCTGCTTTCAGCTGCCTTTCAGGGGTGTGCTGCCTTCGCTTTCTTTCCTCCGCCCCTGACCGCGGGCCTGAGTCCACCTCTCGCGCTGCTGCTGCTGTGGGTGCGGGCTGGCGTCCTGGCATGCGCTGGGACTTCTGCCGGCCGGACTGGGGAGGCGGGTGGGTGCGCTGGTCTTGTCTCCATCGCTGAGTCTAGGCAGTCACACCGTGAGCTGTCGGGGTTCGGGTGCTGGGAGGAGGGCGGCCCTCGTGGGCTTTGCTTTAGCGGCTGGGAAGTCTGAGCAGGTCCTGAAGTCCTGGGGGAGGAGGCGGTTTCAGTTGGCCGCCTGCTCAGCCTCGGGCGAGCTTTGGCGCGTTTCCGGAGCCGGAGGCCCGCGGGCTGTGGACCGGCCAGCTCTGCGCGCAGGTGCCGAGGCCCCGGGTCAGCCTGTGGAGGCCGTTCCGGCTGGAGAGCCTTTTTCAGGGGGTTCCTTTTCGTCACCTGGTGTTCGTGGTTAATACAAAGAAATTATATTTGAAGCTAATTAGAAAGATTTAATTATAAAGATTATCAAGTCTTTCTAATTATTCGGCCGTGTCAGTGCTCATTATGCTGTGCTCGGCGAAGGGGGTGGAGAGGTCGGCCGCGTTGGACCGTGGTGCGTGCGGAGCAGGCCCCGAGCCAAGGGAAAAAAGAGTCTTTCCTGCTCCGCCGCGGGCGGGGCCGGCCCCGTTACTCCGGTGGGGAGCAGGCGGCGGGGGGCCCCCGGCTTTGTTGTTCTTTCCAAGGTGGTTTCGGCTACGCAGGGCCCTTTGAACCGCCACGGAAATTCGTGAGGCACTTGGTGTTCGCTAGGGATGGCTGGGGTTTGGGGGAAGACCCGGTTGTGTCTTTAGCTCGTGCTGGGGAAAACGAAACATCTTAATCATGTTGCCCGTTACAGTTTAAGTCTTTGTTTTCAGCCTGTCTTTCCCTCCTGCCTGCTGGCCTCCGGCGCTGGGTGGAGTCCACACAGTCCCCACCTCTCTCGGCGCTGGGCGGGTGCTGCCTGGGCGGGTGCTGCCTGTCCTGCCGGGCGGCGGGAGCCAGCTGGGGCGATTTCAGTCCCACCAAAGTTGTTTTTACAAAGTGTTTCGTAAACAAAAGCTGTTTTTCAAACAGCTTGCAGAGATTTTTAATTGGATTACTGTTTGAGTGTTGAGTTTTATGGGTGCTTTCTCTGCATTTCTGGAGGCGATGATGTGGCATTTATTCCTTTGCTTGTTAATGTGAATTAAATTGACTTTAAAAACGTCCTAACTCTGCTCCAGACTTCGTTTCATTTCTCTGGTCCCAGAGACGTCTGGCTCCCCCTTTCTGTGGTGACCCATCTGCTGCGGGTCCCCTCCTTTGCCCTCCGGCAGCTTGTCGGTCTCGTCTCGGGTCACCACCTGGGCGGGAAGTGCCGGCCGGCGTGGGGTGTCCTGGCCCCGTGGGGTGTCCTCTGCCTGGGCCTGCGGCCGTAGGGCACCAAGGTGTGCTCTCTGGCCCCGTCAGGGCCTGCTCTCTGGGTGGGGGGGTCCACGTGGGCCTGTGGGGCCGCACAATTTCTCCTCCCGGGCTTGTCCCCTTCACTGCCAGTTGAAGTACTTCCGTTTGCTTCCGGATATATCAGAGCATTGTATCAGTTTCTCGCAGTTACTCTGTAAGCATGAAAAACCCCGGGTCGGGGTACACTATTGACTTTTCTTTCAAAGCCCCGAGATCTCAGGTTCGTTTCGGACTTAGCCAGAGAACATAATAAGAATCCTCCAGTCTGGCTCTTCCTCCCCCTCACATGTTCTAAGTACTTGATGTCACCGTGGCTGCAGCGGCCTCTGGCTGAAGAGCTGCTGGGATGGCTCTCGCGTGTGTGCTCTGGAGGGGCAGCGAGCGTGTGTTCCGGGTTTCACGGTCAACAGAGTGGCTAAAAATCAAGCCTGTGAGTAACTTCAGAGATCTGGGATGCAGTAACAGATGTACTTACGCGTTTAAGTTCACAATAGTAAAGTCTTAGAATAATTTGAATTTTGTGTTGTTACCCAGCACCACTTTCAGTAGAATGGTTCTCGCGAACCATTCTGCCTGGTAGAGCCGCAGGAAAAGCCAGTGCTTGGCGGGGGGGAGCTGGGGAACTCCCGAAACAGCGACGCGGCCGTGTTGGACCCGTCTCTCCCTGGCGGGGCCGCGACACGCGGTCGGGTCTGTCTGGTTTCCACTGTTGACGATCTGCAGAGAGCTGTGCGCCTTTCTCCACAGGTTTTTACGTGGACTTAAATTGCTTCTCTTGGGTCAGTGTTCCGGAGCGGGATGGCCGGGTCCTGGGCTGCCTTTGCTTGTTCCTGCCGGGCGGTCGTCTTTGATTCATAGAAGCAGTTTTTGACTCATCTTTATGCCCTTTAGAGTTCTTGCGTGGCGATTTGGAGGCGGCATATACCCGTTCCAGGCCTGTCTGGGACGTCTGGACCGCAGGGACTGTCGGCAGGCGAGCGCTCCGGCTTCGTCGTCTCCTCCCGGGCCGCTGCGCCCACATAGCCTGTGGGCCCCTCGTGCTGGCTTCCGTGAGGAGAGCGGGTGAGAGGCCCTGCGCTGCCCCTGCGATTTGCTAGGGTCCCCAGGGATGGGCGTAAAGGTTAAACTAGACAAGCAAATGCAAGTTACAGGAGTGCCGTGGAGGCGCGCGCTCGGGTTGCTGCTCCCGGGTCGCCTGCGGGGCAGCGTGGCTCAGCCTGGCCGTGTCGGGCTCGTCCGGGCTTTAGGTGTCCGGTGGGAGGGAGAGGGGCTCGTGCCGGCAGAATGCCAGGGGTTGTCGCTTTTAAGTCTCTTGTCTGCGGTGTCGGGCTGGCGAGAGGTGGCGGTGCCGTCGGAAGGCGAGAGAAAGTTTCCATTTGGCACTTGCTTCTGGCAGTTGCGCCACTTTGCTCGTTTCTGTACAAAAGAAGGGATGTTTAAAAATTATGAATCATGGAAATAGAGGTTTTTTACGTTTATAGAATGTATTAATGTGAACTCAGCACCCCGGGGGCACCCGAGGCCCCTGGGGGGAGGGGCAGGCGCACGAGCGATGTGGGCAGTGAGAGGCTGCGTTTAGTCGGGGGCTAGGCACGGCGCGGCGTTCGTCGGTGTAATTATTGTAGGTAGAGAAGGTTTTAGTTCCAGGGCGGCTTTGGTGTGACGTGACGGAAGAAGACACCCGGTTTCACTTCCTAACCCGCTGGAGCCGGAGGCGGTGCCGCCTGAGCCCTGGGTGCGGGCCGGGCGGGCGAGGGAGGTGGTGGAGGTGGAGAAGCCGAGCTCGCCCGGCGGCGGCGCCCCGGCAGTGAGGGCAAGTCATGGGGGTCGGGCACAGCAGGAAGCGCCGCCTGTGTCCCCGGAATGCGTCTGCTGCTGCCTGGGGCTCGCGGGACTCTGGGGCGGTGTGACCGACGGGCGCGCTCCCCAGGAGCCTGGAGCGCACTGGACAGCAGCGGAGGTCTGGGGATCCGTCTCCTCGGGAACATGAGTGGCGGTGCGTAGGGTTTTGTGTGCGTGCTGTAAGTAGGGATGGGAACTTCGCCTAATATTGCACATTTTTCATGTTCGTGTTTTCTGCTGGAAACAGTTTCGTGTCTCATGTGGCTTTATACTAGTTCTTGCTCTTAAGTGTGAAGAGCTTACAGTTATTCTTCAACATTTAACTCAAGAGGACATGGACTCACTCTGCCTCCTGTTTGTTTTCTCTGTGCTAGGGCGGTATGGAGACTTTGGAACTCCAGAAGGACATAAAAGAAGAATCCGATGAAGAAGACGACGATGATGAGGAATCTGGACGATTGCGTTTCAAAACTGAAAGGAAAGAAGGAACAATTATTAGGCTCTCAGATGTAACTAGAGAGAGAAGGAACATTCCAGAAACTTTGGGTAACTCCTTTTGCCTGTCTCCCATCCTTCTTCATTCCCACTTCGGCTTTTCCATAGCATTAAGATTGATCAAGTAGGTAAAGTTGGCTTTAGAGGTTACTGCACCTGGTGTCTAGACGGTCCGGGTGAGGCAGGCGCTTAAGTCGTTCTATAGACTGTCTTCGAATTAAAATTGTTTGAATAAAATACCTGATTGTTTACTTTTTGGTAGTTTTTCTTTGGAGTTTGTGGCTGGACCTACTCTCATGTGTGTCATGTGGTTCCTGGCTCTTCTGGGAAGGTCGTGCGGTGTGGCCGCACCGTCCGACCCTTGTCGGGACCCTCCACGCCACCAGAGCTAGTTCTGGACCTGACTGGATTCACTTGTGCCCTTCAGTGTTGCCGTCACCAACCATCACAGTCCCCTCCTACGTGCTCTCCCTGTCAGTGTTCACCCAGCTGAGGTGGCCTGTTGCGGACCTCGTCAGCTTGGTCATCCCGCGAGAACCCTGCTATTGCAGGCCTGCGGCAGGTACTGACCGCAGAGAATCTCCCGGCCGCCTTCCCGGTGTCTGCCGCGGAGAGCGAGTGGTGATTCTTCAACCTGCACGAGCTGGGAAGCGCTTGGGGCCAGAGAAGTGGCGTTTCTCACACGTTCTCGGGGGCTGCTGCTTCTGGAGGGTCTGCTGCATTCTGGTATCGGTCAAAATAAAAGTCTGGAAAGTTTGTCACTACCTTTGTATCACCAGACGCTGTTTTAAGTTGGAAACACAACCACTTCCCTTTTAATGGCAGGTAGGACTTCCGCTGAGGACGCTAATAACAGTACGGAGCTGGTCTGATCATATTACTGTGCTAAATGAGATGTATGGAGAGGTTATTCTAGACTCTTCTCCCCCCACCCCAAGTTTCCTTCTCCTCTGCCTTTTGGCTCAAGATTTCCTTAGACTTTTCTCAAGTTATGGTAGCCAGCTGCCGGTTGGTCTGAACCAGGAGAGCAGTTGTTTTCAAGAAAGAATCTGGAGTTGACTTTGGGTAAAAGGAGAGAAGCACAGAAGGTGAGGGGACAAAGGTGTCTTCAGCAGGAGGGGGGTGGATGTAAGGGTGCAGAGGACACGTCTGAGCAGAGCAGGCCTTTGAGCCTTGGGCTGGGGTAAATGAACCCGGGCGGTGGCCCAGCAGCCTGGCCCCGGAGGTCTGTGGGCTGCGGCTTATTGGGCCAGTGGAGGGGAGAGGCATCGTCAGATCATCCTTCCGTTTCTTTTTAGTGTCGCGGGTTCAGCTTTGATACACATCGGGAAGCCTGATATAGCAGACCCCGGTAGCTGGGGTGGCTGCCAAGTCCTGACCCGCTGGGCAGTCGCCATGCCAGTGAGGGCCTTACCCCTGTGTCCAGCTTCTGTGGGCCAGGATGGATTTCCTGGCCCCGCTTCCGCCTCTTGCCAGCTGTGGTCCTCCGCTGACTGCGGCCATCGGCAGTGCTCTCCAGTGGCCTCTGGCGATGGTTTGCGTTTGCTTCGTTCCTGCAATTTTTTCTTGGCAGGGCCTCGCCTTCATTTGTCCTTTCCGGAGTCGCTTGCGCTTTCTGAAGGTACTTGGCGCCGGTGTTCTCTCGTGAAGGCGTCGGGCAGCTTCATAGTCGTCATCCAGGGGCTAGCCCAGAAGTCGTGGTGGGCGGGTTGGGGCGCTCAGGCAGACGGGTTGGGGCGCTCAGGCAGAGCGGGCTAGCTGCCTTTGTGCCAGGTGTGACCGCTGGCCGGGGTGGCAGCGGGGACCCGGCTGGGGTGAGCCCACAGCCCCGAGAGCTCTGCGTTCAGAGCGCGCTTTCCCGTCACTGCCGCGTGGGCTGGCCCTGCTTCAGAGGGACTTTGTGTCCATTCGAAGATTGGTTCCTTCACCACCCGCCTTCTGAACCAAAGGTTAATTTTACTTGCAGGGAAGCTGCTCTCCGAGAGGCTGCTGAGGCTGCTGTAGCCGTCGGTCAAGTAGAAATCTGCATGATTTTTGCGCTCAGCCTCTCGCGCAGCCCTGGTGGCCGCCACGCCGACGTCGGGTTCTGTACGGAAACAGCCGGCGTTGATGTTGTTGTGGGAGGCCCCTTACCTGCTCCCAGTCAGGGGACTGAAATGTCTTGCTACCAGAAAACACGGTGTCCCATAGGATGTTTTGTTGTTTTTTCTTGTTGCTTGCGTATGAGCTCTCTTAGCTTTCTGACAAAAATACAAGCACTTTTTGCGATACTGTTAACTTTGAGAACACTCCACTCTTAAGAGAATGCGCTGACGCTCTCCTGTCTCTTGTTTCTCACGCTTTAGTCTGCATGTGGGACAGTGAGTTCTCCGTCAGGAAGGGACCTGTGGTTCGCAGCCGTCTTCGCATTTGGGCTGTGTGACTTCAGCCTTAACTGGCGAGCGTGGCTTCACGGCGGCGCTGGTTCGCATCCCGACAGCTCCAGAGCCTAGTACGCGGGGTGGTTGGTTTGTACTTTGAATTGAGATTGAACCAGAAGTTGAATTTGGGGCTTTCATGTAGAATAAAGTCTCTAAGTAGTGCACCTTTTTCCTCAGTCAGGATGCTGGGAATTAAGCTTTTCAGAAAAAGGTTTGAGTGACTGTTTGGCCATCTTCCCCAAGGACGATAGCAGAGCGCGTCGTTAGGGGAGGGATTAGTTCGGTTCGTACCAAGGATGACTTGGCATAGAAGGCTTCATTCTCCCGGGACCCCAGTCGGAAGATTCCGTGGCATCTGAGTGAGGGGGTGCTTTCCTTGGAGGGCATCTCCACCGAGTGGGCGTCCTGCGGCCCGTGGGGGAGGCTGGACAGCAGCAGATCCTCCTTGAAAGCGACACAAGGGCACAGGAAAGGCCGCTGTGGTCAGGCGCTCTCACCTGTCCCGGCGCTGCCCCAGCGGGCGTGGCTGCCCCTTGCGGGCTCGTTTCTTGGGCGCGTGCCGGGGCCATATCACATTTTATTGCGTTCCCGTGTGCCCGAGGAGTGTTCTCCTGAAATAACATTCTGGATTTTGTTCTTGGGTCTCCCGGGGAAAATACATTGACCCCGCCCGTGCTGGGCAGCTGGGGTTCCCGCGCCCGCGGCAGGCCCGCTTCCTGATTCAGTCACCTCATACGCAAACCTTGGACTCCCATTTGTTGTTTTTATTTTGCCAAGTAATCTGCATAGTCTGTGAATATTATGTATTAGTCTGTTACACAATTAATTGTATGCAAATTTTCCCCCAAGCTCTCTTTAGAAAGGGGTGGAGCCCGTGCTGGATGGTTAGGTGAGCCCTGTCTGTCTGCGCCGGGGTCCAGCCTCCCTCAGAAAACACTTAGCGGGAAATTAACATTTCAGTTGAAGTTACAAATGTAATTTCCCTCCTGTCATATTTTGGTGACCTTTTGTGACAGCTTGTCTCAATTGGAGGAAAGCATTTTTACGTGCTGATTAAAGATGTCATTTGAAACCATTTTATTACCAGGGATAGTGAAATTAATCTTGACACTTAGAAGCACTCAAAAAATAATTGCTGATTCACCGCATAAAATGTGGATGTGAACCAATCATGTAGTCAAGATTAGAATAAAAGTGTGTGCTTGTTAGGAAGAGATTACATTTTCCTTCAAATGGGCATCTAGACTCATTTGGAGGGGAGGGCAGTACCCTGGAAAAAATTTTAAGAAAGTGAAATGTGATTTGGTGATTCGGGGCGACTAGAAATAAATGCGTACAGAATCCATGATAGGAGATAAACTGGTATTTGGAAGTTACCCTTCCCTGTGGAAGGAGGTGGGAGACAGTTCCGCAGTGAAATCTCTGGAAGGTGTTAACACGTAAAGTGTCGCAGCTGAGGGATTATTTTAAAAATAAAGAAACTGTGTTTGACTAAATCAGGTTTTTTTTTTCTCTAGGAATGTAGAAAAATGGGCCACTGTGAAGTTTGTGTAGGGCCAGAGTTGTGCTCCTGTGTGGCAGACGCTCTGGGCAGGGGTGAGCGCCAGCGGGCGCCCCGTGGCCCCGCATGGAGGCTGCGCGGCGCCATGCCTGGGCCTCGGCGCACGTGTGGCATCGCTTCTGTGTCAGACCGCGTCGACCCGAGAAGTCTTTCCTCACAGACGAAGTTTGATTTTGTAAACCTGAAAATATGAGATGATAGTAGTGTTCGGTATTTTCCATAGTTTAGGAAATTAGCTTTAATTTTCTGGCCTCAGAATGATTTCATTAATAGCTTTCTTTTTTTGTTTTGTTTTGTTTTGTTTATACAAGCACTGGGTACAGTCAGAAGCGCGGGAGGGTGAGAGAATTCACCAGAGCAGGGAGCAGAGCAGGCAGAAGGACTGAAGTACACTGCTGAGGGGAGCAGCGAGCAGCAGGAGAGGTCCGCGCGTCATGCAGGACCCTCCTCCGGTGGCCGGGGAGCAGCCGGGGATCGAACCGGTGCCGCAGAGGCCGCGGGCAGCTTTGCAACCCAGCGCTCAACCGCTGCGCCACCGGGGAGGCCCATTAATAGCTTTTTTTAATCAGGAATGTGTCAGTTTTCCATTTCTGGGTGCTGGGCAGGAATGATATTTCTGCCAGTTTCGTGAAGACACTGGACTGGCACGGGGGTGGGGTAGCTGGGTCCTGACGACGGCCTCTGCTGTGGCGAGTGATTGCGGGGTGCCTAGCAGCTGAAGTTGACTTCAGCCCCTGTGTAGCTTCCCTCAGCACGTTCTAAGGGTCTCGCATGGTGACTTGGTGTGGGGACACCTGCCGCTCCCGAGACTCCCATCCCGATTTTCCCGCCTCCTCCCTGTGGGTCGGTGTGGACTTTTGAAGGTTCCTAAACTTCTGCTTCTTTCCAAATAGAGCTTTCAGCAGAAGCCAAAGCTGCGTTGCTGGAGTTTGAAGAACGAGAGCGACAGCACAAGCAGGGCCGCTACGGCGCGCGGCGGGGCGGAAGGCGAGGCGGCACCCTGCTGGGCCGCGGCGCGGGCGACCAGCGGCGGGACCACGGCGAGAGGGGCAGGGTCCAGGGCCACAGGCCTGCCCTGCTACCCACACAGCCTCCTGTGGTGGTAACGTCACACTTTCGCCTCAGCTCGAAGGGAGGCCTGCTCTGTGGGGGTTAATTCCGCACTTAACTGCTTTGGCTGAAATGAAAGCTTAGTGGCAGGAATAACGGCTGAAGTTGCTGGACAGTCAGTAATGTGATTTCGTGGATGGGCTCATAGAGTCAGTCATGGGGCTCGGTGGTCAGAAGTAATTCTCAGCACAGCAGCGGCGGAGGGAAGGTCCCGGGCCGGACACCCTTGAGGGTGGGAGCCGCAGGCGCCTGCGGAGAGGCTGCCCCCGCGCCTGTGCCTGGAAGATGCCATTATGGCTGGACGGCACCGGGCAGGGGTTTTATTTGGTAAAAATTTCCCTTCAAACTGTTAGCCGTAGGTTTGTCCTTAAATACAGGGGTTTCTCTCAGAGTGACTGCTCCAGCCTGTCCATAAAACGTGGATTCTGATCTTCTCCGCTCGGGTTGCGTCACCTGGGGGTGTGTCATGTGCTTGACATGTCTTCTTCATTTGAATTTCCTCTGTGTGTCAAGCACGCAGCCCTCGGGAGCACAGACAGGAGCTGTAGGGCTGATCTTTTGATTCTTTTAGTTAACTTTAGGGTCTTAACAGCTTCTTCCGTCAGAGGTCACCCCTCAGAGGCCACTTGGTTTAATCCAGATATGTCCACCACGCCTGTCACTCTGGTTTAATCTGAACTGGGGGACTCACACCTCGCCCCTATAGAAGTGTTATGTTCTGGGAGGGAGGCAGTCACTTGTGAAAGGGCGACGTAAAAAAAGGTGACTTTCTGCTGTGGCGTGAGAATTCCAGCGTTGATGCAGAGCAGGGAGGAGAAGCAGGTGGTTTGGTCCTTGCACAGAGGCTGGTACTGGCAGCCGCGGTTTGTCTGTGCTCGCCGTCCTGGCTCCCTGCATCAGGAGGCCTCCAGGCTCTTCTTTTCTCCCTTGCTGGGTGCTCCCTTGGAAATGCTCGGCAGCCACCTGGCTTGGCCTCCGGGTGCAGGGGCTAACAGCCCTGCGGGAGAGCTGCGTGTACATGGCCTGTCTCTTCTGCAGGAGCGGAGCACGTTTCTTAGCCAGCCTCGGAGAGGCTGGACTGAGGGGTTGCGTGCAGCCACCCGTGAGTGACCTGAGCCTGCGTGTGTCCCCCCCCCAGCCCCCTCCCCCCATTGGCTCTAGAGCACGTGGGGAGCTGGGCAGGGACCCGTGGCCAACCCACTCAGGCTAGGGTCTGTGCGCCGGGTCCTGGCCAAGTGTCTGCTGGTCAGTGTGTTAGAGCAGCCCCTCTCCCCTCCGTGGGCCCGTCACCCCTCCCTCCCTGCTCGGCCCCACTCCCTCGGTGGCATTGTCCTTTCCGCCATGTGCGCGGGGCCGGGCCCCAATGTCCCCCCCGGCCCCCCACCCTGACCTCCGGGCCTTCTAAACCATGGTGGGTCACGGCCCTTTCTGCACTTGGTGCGTGGCCTTGCCACGTGCTCTTCCCAGTGTGCTGGTGTGCGCCCTCGGGGCCCGCTCTCTCCACACGTGTGTGTTGGTCACGAGTGTCAGGGCGCAGCAGAGGGGACATGCTGAATTTGGGATCATGCAGCGCCATGGACCCGGCTGTCACGGCCAGTGCTGCAGTCTCTGGGAAAGGGCAGGGTGGGGCCTGCTCTCGCAGTTCCCGTTACCCTTCTGGAGGCGCGCCCCTTGTCGGACCACAGCGCTCCTTCTGCCCTGCCCTGGCGAGTGCTCTGTCTCCCTCCCGCTTCCTCCCCTCCTGCATCTCACAGGGGCCAGGCCATGCCCATGTGTGGCGACAGCAGCTCCAGCAGTGCCTACACTTGGAACGCAGAATGTGCCTGACTTGGCGCCCCAGGGCCTCCCTGGGCCTGGGTCCGAGAGGGGGTGCCCTCGGGACAGCCTCCTGCCCCTGCTGCTGGGCGTGGCCAGCTGCTGGATCTTGAAGGAGGGTGATGATGACCCACCTCAGAGGGGAGCCTGTGGGAGCCCACTAGGTCATCTCCTTTGTTAGCTCCAGTCTGTGTCTGCGGAGCCCCGTGGTGGGCCGTCTCCTCGCACGACTATTCCACAGAGCAACCCGGGCCCTTCCCGCGCGCAGGGCGGCCTTTGGCTGGCCTCGCCTTCCATGGCGGCTTCTCCTGAGGCGGGAGCCACCTGGCCTCCTTTGGTTTCCCTGTGGGCGCGTCATCCTGCCTCTGCTGCTGCCTCTGCCACTTTCCCGCATGGCCAACTTCCTCCTTCCTGGCGGGTAGGTGGCCGCTTTGCAGTCGTCTCCTGCCCGCTCTGTGGCCCAGCCCTTGCTCTCCCTTGTCCCTGTGCGAGGCTTCCTGACTGCTCCTCTGCAGAGGAGGCGGGGCTGGCGTGTGGAGGGGCCGGCCAGCTGCGCCAGGTCCTGCTCGAGTCCGTGGGCTGTGTGGCTGGTTCGACTGTGTTGGTTTCTCTCAAGTCCGTGCTGGCGCTAGGCTCAGGGGCTGCCGTTCTGCCTTCTTGCCCCGGACAAGGCCCACTCGAGACAGCTGAGGGCGGGCCCACCCGGGAATGACTGTAGCGTGCAGGTCCCAGCGGGGCTGGCTCAGATGGGTGGTCACGACTGAACCAACCTGCTGGGCCACGTGAGTGGGAGGGGGGCGGGCAGCGCTACGCTTGCGGTCTGTTCCTGCTGCGGGAGTGCGTGGGTTTCTGTGCACCTCGTGGCCTGGCCAGGGCACACCTGCGACGCGTTGGCTTTCTTGCACTTCTCCGAGTGTTGATTTAGATCTCTGTGTTCTTTCCTGTGGCATTCAGGCGCACTCGCCAAGACTGATCCCGCCCCCACAGCCGCAGCCGCCCCCTCCACCCCCACCCCCGCCGCAGCAGCCGCAACCGCAGCAGCCGCAGCCGCAGCCGCAGCAGCCGATTCGCAGCCTGTTCCAGCAGCAGCCCCTGCAGCCTCTGCTGCCCTTGCAGCACCCGCACCACCCCTCCCCTCCGCAGGGGATGCACATGCCGCCCCAGATCGAGACCCCCCGGGTGATGATGACCCCTCCTCCTGGGACTCCGCAGCAGCCCAAGAACATCCACATCAACCCGCACTTCAAAGGGGCGGTGGTCACCCCGGTTCAAGGTACGGGCCCCCTCGCCTCTGTCAGGTTCCAGGCCCCCACTGCACTCACCCAGCATCCTTGCAGCCTCATGTCCAGTGTGGGGCCCAACATGCTCCCTTGGCTCTGTCCCGGCCCCCTGAGATGCGTGCTGTCTGGACAGGCCAGACTCGTGTGTTTAAACACGGGCACCTCATTTTTAACTTAGCAAGCACCGCAAAAAACAAAGTGAAGGCCACAAGCGGTGATGGTGGAACAGCCAGACTTGTGGCTGGAGCTGTCCGTGGTGCTGCCCTGGAGACACACCCAGGAGGCTAAAGTGATGCCAGGTGCCTGAGCACATGAGGGAGGGTGCCACCACCCCCAACGCTTTGAGGGAGGCGAGCAGAGTTCTGTTCTGGATGTGTCAGATTTGAGGCAGCAGCTCGATGGCACTGGGGCTGTCTGGTGGGCACTCTACCAGGGTCTGGGCTTGGGGGACAGTTGGGGGTTGCTGGCATGTTGATGGATCTGGAACCTGTGGGACCCCAGGGGAGCTGTCGAACTTAGGGCTCTTGACATTGAGAGGTGTCGGGAGGGCTGTCGGGAGGAGGAGGGCGGGGGGATGTGGGCGTGCTGAGGGATGATGAGTGGAGGAAGAATGGCGCCAGGCCTGGGTTCTGCTGACTGGACTTGGAATCCCAAAGGGCCTGGATGAGAATGTTGAGAAGCTGGGGCGAGGGCTTCTGTGTGGGAGAGGCACCGTGAAGTTGCCCTGTGGCCTTATAGCAGCCCACTTGGAGTTGCCGTGCCCGGTGTGACTCAAGCCCAGCACAGAGCCTGCGTGCTGGAGCCTCGTGTTCTGGCCTCCCTGCTGCCCACTGCGAGCACGGCCTGAAGGCTGGCACAGGCGGCGGCCACCAGGCCCACCTGGCTCTGCCCCTCGCTTGTGCTCTCAAGTTGCTTCTTACAGCGTGTTGAAAAAGTTGCTGACGAAGCAGAAGGCTCGGTGTGAGAAATCTGTTGATTATAGTTGTATTTCTTCTCATAGATGCCTTCTGGGTTTCTTTCTCTTTTTCTTCTAATTACAGGAGCGTAATTTTTTTACACTGTTGCAATTATTTGATGGGAATTGATATTTAATTCCCAAGTTTTAATGTAGGTGGTACATATTCTTGAAAGCTTGGATATTTTGTGTTTGATTCCTAATTTTAAAAACATCTCCATGTTGTTGAATATGTGCTTTTCTCTCTGCCTTCACTGTAATCTCCTGGGGTCAGAGACATGCTTGTCGTTCCCTTCCGCACCTGACGTGCTACTAATCCTCCTCAGCTGTGTAGCTGGAGAACCCTGGGGCCTCACCTTGTATAGTCTTACACGTCGTCGCTCTGCTCTGGTTTTGATGCACTGGATCAGTCTCCCAAGAGCGTGACAGGCTGCGGCCATTTTACCTTTCCTCAGAGTTAGGGTTCTCCAGTCCTGCCTCGCATTTGAGTGAGCCACGTGACACGGGCCGGGACGGGGCCTTTAATTTGGACCTAGGGCGGTGTGATGGCAAGGAGCTGCTGGCGTAGGTCGTAGTCAACAGAAACAACTTACCTTGGCGCTGAGCCTTAAGCTGTATTGTTTCTTTATTTCTCTTATGCTGGGAATCCCCTAAGGTAGACACAAGCTAGGGCACGTCGTTACCTCACGCTTGACGTAGCTCCTCTGGGCATGTCTGTCCTAACCTCCTCTGACATGGACGCCAGTCCTGTGGCCAGGGCTTACCCCAGTGACCTCCTTTTGCCCTCGCCATCTCTCGGGAGCCCCTGGTCCGGGGGAGAGCCTTAGCTCACGACATGTGGCAGTTGGAGGCGCTGGGTGGGGTGGAAGCATGTTTAACAAGGGCACGCCTGCCTCCACATGGCCAGCCGCCTGCTCGGGGCAGGGTGTTCTCAGTCATGACCCGTGGCGTGAGGGTTACAGAGCTCACAGGCCAGGTTCTGCCTCAGGCTGGAAGCTGGACACCTGCTTCTTTCCTATGACAGAATTATTGTTCTAAAATTATTTGGTTCCTTGTTCTTTTAGGGGGCCAGCGGGAGGTCTTTAGCAGCAAGCCCAGTGTTGGAGTGGTTGGTGGTTTGTTAGCGTGTTCTCTGGGGTCGGAGGTGAGCGTGGCCTCCAGGACCATGGATCTACCTGTGTTTTCCTTTCTCTGCCTTCTTCACGTCTCCCCTCCACCTCCACCTCCCCCACCCCCCCATGCTAGAGAATTCAGGTCTAGGTCTGTGTTTGCTTGGAGGAGGACGTGCAGCGGCGTTCGGTGGTCTGGGTGGCCTCGCTCTGGTGTGGGGACCAAGCTGGCCTTCCGTGTTAAAGGAACGGTGTCTTCTGTTGCACGCCAGTGCTTCTCAGTAGCGATTCTTTGTTGGCATTTCTGTAATTTGTGCTGTATGCTGAAAGTAAACGTGCTGTTCTCCCCTTTCCCTTGCTCGCTTGTTAAAAATGTCACGCCCTTAGCATCAGTGTGACTGCATGAGTGTGCACACGTATCCTCTAGGCTACCTTGCAGCCTGTAGTCCTTGTCTGTGGGCTTGGAGGGGACGTGAAGTGAACCATGTCGTAACCAATGGTGTTCTTCCTCCCGCAGTGCCCTTGCTGCCAGTCCCGAGCCAGCCGAGACCTGCTGTGGGACCCCAGAGATTCCCCGTGAGTAGCAGCGGCCCCCTCCGCCCTTCCCAGACGCGCGCGTGTGCCAGGGAGTTGTGCCGCAGCAGACACAAGTTTAAGGATGTGTAAATATTGACAATGACTTTTGAAATGGAAAATGTTTGTTAAAAGCTTAAGGTCAATGGGTTTTTAACTGTCAAGTTGTTGAATCAGGGTCGTCACCGGCACACCGCTCGTTGTGGAGCAGCGATGTTGACGCCCATTGCCTCGTGTGGAGTGAGCCCCAGCCTGGCTCGATGCGCGCGTGTGGGCACGTGTGTGCACGAGTCAGGGTGGGTGCGACAAATCCTGGGGGAGGAGAAGGCAATTGCTGTGAAAAAAAGCTTCAAAGGTCTTAGGGAGCCTTTGGGTTTATATTTTAAAATGAAGGTTTTCTCCTTAAAATACTTTTAAGAGAAGGAAGGACCGCGCTGTCTCTCCCCAGCCCCGCTGCGCGCGCAGGCCGCGCTCTGCACCGCCCTCCCGGCTTCTGACTCGCCCTCCAGAAAATTACCCGCTTAAATAGTTGAACATAAATTTTGAGTTTCTGATGGATGTATAGTTGTTTCATGGTTTCGTTAAATCAGTGAGGGATTTGTTCTTTTTAAAAACAATGTTGGAGAAAAGTGGACCGGGGCAGACACTGTCATGTTATTTGTAAGAAGCTGTAGTTTTGTGTGGGCGGAACAATTTGATTTTCAGAAAATGTCTAAACGACCACTTTGGCTTTTTAACTGTGAGGCCTCCGTCGCTACCACATTTGCACATAGCATAGAGTGAGAAAGGTTTTAACAGGAGACTCAAATGCACAGCCAGATGGTTATTCAGAAATGGTTGGCATTGGGTTTAAGGCTCAGAGTAGTTTTTAGAAACTGCCGTGATGTGTAGTGGTTGTTTATGGGTTAGGATATGGGTCCTGAAACTGGTTCATTTTCCCTTATAGTAATCTTTTACTTAATTTCCTTACCAGGTTCTAAAACTATTTTTAAAAACGTAGGTAACGTGTTGAGTGCAGTTTCCTATTGGAAGCTCCCGACTAAATAGCTAAGGGGTGTGAGTCGCATCATCCACCCACAAGCGCGTGTGGTTTTCGACATCAGGTGCCTCAGGTGACATGGCGCGGCTGCCGAGTGGGTAAAGCACAGTTGAGGTTCTTGCGCCATGTCTCAGCACCCTGAGCATCTGCATCCGTCACGTCACGGCTTGCTTCCGTGCTTTGCTTGCATCGTAGGGGTAAGAGTTGGTGTGGAGAGCCATTGCTTAAGCAGAGCAGGAAGGCTGCGTGCCACCCCCTGCACAGTGTGCTTCCTGGTGCAAAACGGGGTTTGTGGTTCCCATGCTCGACGCTTCCCAGCGGCGTGGATGAGGCTGTGTTTGACTCTGCAGCGCGCAGCCTCGCTGTGCTAGAGGCTCCAAGAGGGCAGCGAAAGGCATTATTACCCTTGTCTCAGAGAGTCCCTTAGCGCCAGGCGAGGGTGCCCGGGGTTGTCTGACTGCTTTTTGTTGCTGTTTGTGAGGTGGCGGCGCGCAGGGCGCCAGAATGCGGCTGCCGCAGCGTGTGTTCAGCCCCGACCCCAGGTGCTCATCGTGGCGGGTGCTGCCTGCGTGTGCAGTCCTGGAGGTGCCATTCTCTGCTTTTTTCCGCCATCAGTCTTTCAGAAAATCCTCAAATATAGAACGTAGTTCAGAAATTCAGGAGAGGTATTGTGGCTCTGCAGAAGTCCACCAAAAAGCTTGAGAGAGCGGGCCTCCCTGGGGGCGCAGGGGTTAAGCGCCGCACCGTGAAGCTGTCCGCAGCCTCTGCAGCACGAGTTCCGTCCCAGGCCAGGGAGCTCCCCACAGGGCGCAGCAGACCTCTCCTGTCTCCCCGCTGCTCCCCTCAGCAGTGGGTTTCAGTCATTCTGCCTGTTCTGTTCCCCACTCTGTCTCTGGGGAATCCTCTCCCCCACCCCCCGCACCTCTGGCCTGCGCCCCGGTTCTTGTGTGCATAAATAAATCATCTTTAAAAAAAGTTTGGGAGAGGGACTAACCTTGGATGTCACCTTTGGGTTTACTCAGGACAGATCTCTCGGTACATGTTCCCCTTTTCCGTTGCCAGATTACCCTTGAGTGTAACACGGTTTTGTGACCATGATTTAGTGAGTTTCTCCTTCAAACCACGTGCCCTGCGTTGTGCTAGTCCCTGAGCTGGAAGATGGACCAGGTGTAGTCAGTGAAGCCCGAACTGCAGGCGCTGGGTGATGCCTCACCCGAGCAAAGTGGAAGAGCAGTGAGGACACTGTCGTGGCCCGGGGGCACCAGTCAACTAAACTGTGTTCTGTAGTGTGACCCCCGCGCCCCAACACACACACACACGTAAATTGATAGCCCTCAAGTTTCAAGGAAGCTGAGCATTGGGTTCTCCGCAGCATCTCTTGGAATCTACACAAAAGATTTAAATGACAGAAGTCTTGAGTGAAGCCACGTTCATTGTGATCTTTCTTTCCCCAACCTCAGCCCCTTCGAGGAGTTCCCGTTGCTCCTGCGTGCGCAGTGGGGGGAGCACGCAAGTGATGCCAGTGCCCGACTCCTGTCTGGGGTCCACTGCGCAGTGCACGCCCCCTCTGCCCAGTGGGGTGACCCCCTCAGCGCTGTGCTCAGCGGGTGCCAGGGACAGCCCCGCGGCAGTGTGCCCGGAGGGTGATGGTGGTGGTCCGGCTCCTTCGGGAGCTGTCCGTGACGTGGCTGGTGAGGCGAGGCCTGCACGGTGATTTTTTGCTTTTATTTTCAAGGATGAACATGCACGTTGGAAGTAGGATTCATGTCCTGTGCGTTTCACAAGACTTCAGGCCTGCCCACCTGACTGGGGCATGAAGGCAGATGCGGGGGTGCCGGGTCTGCAGGCTCGGGAGGGGTCAGCACCAGCGGCGGCGTGCCCAGTGCCCTTCCGCCCCAGTAGTGCACGCCGGCTTAGACTGCCCCTTTGACAAGGAAACTGGAGAAGTTCTTCATGTACAACAGGGAGGTCTAGAGCTTGTAGGAAGTGAGGATGTCTCGAGATTTTTTAATGGAAAATCACAGAGCACTCTAATATGAAGCCCTGTGTGCATGGAGGTGTTTGAAAGGTCAACTCTGAGGTCGTGCTGTACAGTTCAGGTGCAGCCAGCCTGGTCGTTTCTCTCCTGCGCATGAATCTTAGAGGCTGGATGAACAGTCTTCACCGCGGTGATTTGAATGTCAAAGCAGTAAAATCATGAAGGACCCTTATTTTGATCACTTTTGGGCCCTGCGCCCTCAGGCCTGCGCGCGGTCGCCCAGCCGGGGGTCCCTGCCCCTCCGATGCGGACGCGTGGCCTGCAGCGGGTGAGGTTTCTGTCCAGAAGTCAGGCCTTTTTTTCATCTCAGCTGCTGACACAGTGACTGTGCTGACACTGCTGAACCCGGCCATGTTCTTCTCACGCAGACTTTTATTCCCAGCGACTTGTTTTCTCAAACAAGACTTCGGAATCTCTTCTGGAGAGATAGACATACATTGACTGTCATTCATCCTCATTTTCGTTAATCTGCCAAATCCACAGTGGGTGAGGGATGCTGCGGGAAGCTGTGGCTGCTGGGCGCAAAAGCAAGCACATGCCCTTGGCCGTTGGAGGGGGTCCTGCCCAGGGAGCCCCCCTTCCATGCAGCCCCCGCTGTCCTGTCCGTCTAGGCATCTGGCCCCGCCAGCCACCATGGGAGCATCCCCGTCTGCGCTGGGCCCGGGGCTGCACTGTCCCCAGAGCGCTTACGGTGCGCTTGGTCTCCCTGAGGGCCCGGCAGGTGCAGGCAGGCCAGGCTGGAGCACCTGCCTGCAGGCGGGCCTGATGGGCCTGATCGCTCCGCAGGCTCTCCCGGATGCTGTCTCGCGGCAAGTTTAACGTCCTTGCCTTCTCCCTAGTGTCTTGTCTAGTGCTGTGCCTGTTCTCAGGGATGTTTGCTCAACACGCGCCATCTCAAACACGTAACCCTAAAATGTGAGCACCCTGGAGGCTTGCTGTGAGGTTTTGCTCATCTGTTACCTTGTCAGCGCAGCGGCCGTTCTTAAGTGGGTGGGGTAAATCCCAGGTCCTTCACGGGGTACCGATCATGACGTAAGCATTTTGAAACCTAGTCTAGTCAGCCTTTGGTTTTGCGTTGGTGTGTTGGGTTAATGCAGGTATCTGAGGGCAGCCAATTACATACAAAGTATTTTGGCTGCTGAGTAATATTAGTGACTTTTGTTTAATGGAAAACAAAAAGTTAAGTTAAAAAAGACAATTACACTTTTAAGTTGGCCTTCTGGGATGACATTACCACCTGGGCAGACGCAGTAGAGGCAGCGCCTTCTGTGTCTGCCTCCCGGCTGGTCTAGCTGCAGTGTGTTTCCTGCAGCGGGGCGCTCGGTATTTATTGGGGGCTGGTGATTGACACTCTCTGGATGGGGCTTACAAGGCATTTCATGCAAATCATGTTTGATGAGACTGCTGCATCAAATTACATTTCTTTCTGATTAGAGCCTTTGCAGATGTGAATCCAGACTTCATTCCAGCTAGGAAAAAAGCCTTTCTTTTGAACCCTTACTGTTTTTACAACTTGCTTGCAATGCCTTGTAATTATTAGCACTTAAAGATAGGGAAGGGGTGATGGGCATTCTCTCTTATCAAATCTATGAGTAGTAGCAGGCAGATGTGGGGAGAGATCTTCCAGCTGTCACACATTGTCAGGCGGGTGAGGCAAGAATGCAGTTTAAAATGCAGGTGACATAATACCCAGCCTCCTCCATTTGCTGGTGGGGTTCTGATTAATCATGATTACCATACATTATCATACCATCAAATTTAATCATATCAATGAATTCCCATCTGCAGTAGGAACAGCAGCAGCTAAGCACTATGGTAACAGTCAGAGCACGTGGTCTTAGATCCGGTGGTCCAGGTTCGGCATGGCGGGGCTGGGTGCAGGGTCGCACAGCTCCAGGCAGGGCCTGGGTGGGGGTGAAGTGGGTT